CTCCTTCAGGTAACCAGGACCCAAGCCGTTTAGGGCTTTATAGGTCATCACCAACACCTTGAATTGGGCCCAGACTTTTTGCAGGATTCCCTACCATACGTTGGTCAACATGGGTCAGCCCTCATCAATGTTCAAGGAGCATCTCCTTCCATAGGTGCCTGCCCACCCCTTAAGAAATAGGGCAGAGGCCCTTCACTGGAAGCCTGACCTGAGGGAGATTAGGAGGGTGACTACCAGGAGAAGGGGAGACCAGATTCGAAGGATCTCTTGGGGAAGGGACACAGTAATTATGGGGGATTACAGTCTCCCAGATATTACTTGGGAGACCCACTCGGCGGTGACAGCCAGGTCACGTCGCTTCCCAGAAGCTATAGAGGGAGGGTTTTTCACACAGAGGGTCCGAGAGGCGACAAGGGCGGGAAACATCCTTGGCTTGGTCTTGACCAATAGGGAGGAGCTGATAGATGAAGTACAGATTAGGGGAGCTCTGGACGCGAGTGATCCCTCCATCCTTTGCTTTGAGATCGGGGACTGGGGACGGGCAGCAGGTCGAGCACTAGAAGCTGGGACTTCAAGAGGGCCAACTTTGGCCATTGAAGGCCAGACTGGGGAAAGTCTCCTGGGACAGGTTACTGGAAGGCGAGTTGAGGAGGGGTGGATGGCACTCAAAAGGGAGGTCTTGGAGGCACAAGCCTTGACGATACCTCTAGTCAGTAAGGTGGGGAGGCGGAGGAGAGGCCGCCATGGATGCTAATGGAGGTGTTAGAGGGATTAGACGAAAGAGGAACCTCCTTAGGAATAGAGTACTGGGGCAAATAGACAAAATGGTATACCGGGAGGAGGAGGCCCGTTGCAGAAGGATTCTTCGCAAGGCTAAGGCTGATTACGAGCTGAGACTTGCCAAGAATATCAAGAGCAACAGAAAGGGCTTCTTTCAGCATGTAAATAGGAAGAGGAAGGGGAGACAAGTGGTGGGACCGCTAAATAAGGAGGAAGGAGAGCCCGTGACTGATACGAGGGAACAGGCACAGATGCTAAATGACTGTTTTGCCTCTGTATTCTCCCCAAAGCAGGATGGGGGTTATCCGCATAGGAGATTAGATGAGGCTGGGGACTTAGGGGCACAGATTAGAGTCACCCCCTTGAAGTCGAGGGACTCCTCGGGGCATTGGGCATTACAAAGGCGCCAGGCCCTGACCAGTTACACCCGAGAGTACTTAGAGAGTTGGCACGGGTTCTTCCACGCCTGCTGGCCTCCATTTTTGAGGGCTCGTGGAGAACGGGTGAAGTTCCAGAGGGCTGGAGGGTGGCGTCAGTGGTCCCTATTTTCAAAAGGGGTAGTAGAAGGGACATGGGGAATTACAGACCAGTTAGCCTTACATTCATTGGAAAACAATGGACATTGGAAAACAAAACAGGAAAACAATGGAAAGGCTCATAATAGCGAGAGATCTAGTGACACTAGATAGGGAAAGGAGGCTGGCAGCCACACAACACGGCTTCTGCAAAAACAGGTCCTGCCAGACAAACCTTGTGGGATTCTACGGCAAGGTTTCGAGGTGGCTAGATGGAGGGGATGCAGTGGATGTGGTTTCCCTGGATTTCAGCAAGGCCTTTGACAAAGTGCCCCATGATATCCTGGTGGAGAAACTGAGAAGTTTTGGGATACACCAAAGCACTGTCTGGTGGATTAGGGCATGGTTGACTGACCGAAAGCAGAGGGTAACCATTAGTGAGAAATCATCGGGATGGTGGCCAGTGACAAGCGGGGTCCCCCTGGAGCTGATCCTGTTTAATCATTTCATAAATGACATGGAAGAAGGGGTGACCCGTCTCTGATCAAATTCGCAGACGACACTAAAACTGGAGCAGTGGCCACAGCTGAGGAGCAGGTACTCCAGATTCAAAAGGATCTGGACAGACTATGGAACTGGGCAGGAGACAACAGGGTGGCGTTCAATGTGGATAAGTGCAAGGCCTTGCACTTGGGGCATAGGAACGGGTGTCATAAGTACAGGTTGGGGGACAAGTGGCTGGAGACCAGCACTTGTGAAAGGGACCTTGGGGTGCTGGTTCACTGCACGCTGAACATGAGCCAGCCGTGTGATGCGGTGGTCAAGAGGGCGAACGCCACCCTTGGTTGCATAGCCAGAAGTGTGGCTTCTAGAGCAAGAGAGGTGTTACTGCCACTCTACACGACTCTGGTGTGCCCGCAACTGGAGTATTGTGCTCAGTTTTGGGTCCCTCGTTACAGGAAGGATATAGCCAGGTTGGAGTCAGAGCAGCGTAGGGTCACAAGGTTGGTGGCTGGTTTGCAGGGGAAGCTGTATGAGGCGAGACTGAGGGAACTGGGTCTCTTCTGCCTGGAGAAGGGGAGACTCACAGGGGTTCTGTTGGCTGCATACAGGTATGTGAGGGGGTTGTCACATGGAGGTGGGCAGAGACCTGTTCTCCCCTGCAGAGGAGGGCAGGATGCCCTCTAATGGAGCAAAGCTCAGGGAACCAAGGTTCCATGTGGATGTCAGGAAGTCCTTCCTGACGGTTAGGACCCCAAGGGTGTGGAATGGGCTTCCTTGGGAGGTGGTTGAGGCCCCATCGGTGACAGGCTGGACAGGCACATGGTGGGCATGTCGTGAGTGGAGCTGGCTGGAGCCAGGGGTCAGACTAGATGACCCAGGAGGCCCCTTCTGACTCCCTCTGCTTCTATGTTACCTGAAGGAGCGCTTACATCCATATATGCCCGGCCGCCCCTTGAGATCGGTGGGAGAGGCCCTTCTCCGGGATCCCTCCGTGAAAGAAATTAGGAGGGTGGGTACTCGGAGGAGGGCTTTCTCTGCGGTGGCGCCTAAGTTATGGAATGCGCTCCCCAGAGAGGTCCGCCTGGCGCAGTCGTTATTTGTTTTTTGGCGCCAGGCGAAGACCTTTTTATTTAAGTGGCATTTTAACTGTTAATATTATTGGATTTTATCTGGCCAGGGCGGCTTATTTTATATTGGTATTTTTGTATTTTTAATCTAACGTTTATATTTTTTAATTTAATATTATAATTATTTTTTTAACTTATTGTTGTAAGCCGCCCCAAGACTTCGGCGAATGGGGCGGCATAAAAATGTTTTAATAAATAAATAAATAAAAATGTGCTGGCACCCTGCTTACTCCCCTGAGTGGTTCACCAGACACTGTCACTTTATTCTTTTCAGCGCCAGGCTAAAACTTTTTTATTTTCCAAATGTTTTAGTATCTGATTATTTTAATTGGGGTTTTATTATTGGTTGGAAATTTTATTAGGATGCTGTGTTTTATTTCATGTTATATTGTTTTATTATTATATCATCCCACGACCATGGTAAAGGATGGTCTAGAGAAATTTTAAACAAATACATAAACGAGACCATGAATAACCAAGAGGTTGGCACCCATGATGTCTTCAGGTTGCAAGGTGGCTTGTGCAATTTGAAAACTCAGACACAGGACAGTAAAACAGAAACCCAGAACAAGGGAGAAGTCGAAAACATGGGAGTGCCCAAGGCAAGCAATATGTGCTGGCACCCCAAGAGCAGTGGGATGTCTAATGATTCACCCCCCCCCCAAGTTCTCAGTCCACGATTCAGCCGTTCAAAGGAAAATCTGTATGTTTATGCAGACTTTGGAACCACTGTGACTTAAAATGATTAAAAGATTATATAATTTTCTTTCGGATATGAAAATGGAAGATGACAAGTTAAGGAAACTATGATAACGTGGGCACAAAATTTTGGATATAGTATTGAGCTACAGAAATAGCAAAAGCTGTGGGAAAGAAATATTAAGATAACTTTAGCAAATTCATTTAAAGAAAATCCTTATAAAATGTTTTATAGATTTGTATTTGTCGCCGAATAGATTAGCAAAAATGTTTTCAAATATATCAAACGGATGTTGGAAATGCAAACAAAAATCTGGTACATTTTATCATATGTGCTAAGGCAAAAAAAAATACTGGGTTAAAATACATAAATGGCTTGAGGAAATGCTGCAAAAACCTTTAATATTCAAACCTGAAGTATTTTTATTAGGCATTATTCCTGATGATCTTGATAAACGAAGTATATATTTGATCTTACATGTAATTACTGAGGCGAGGATTCTATTTGCTCAGCATTGGAGGAAGGAAGAGCCACTGACTGAAGAGCTAAAAAGGATTCTGGACTGTGCAGAAATGGATAGACTGACTCAGTCTTTGAAGGAGAAGGAAGATACAAATTTCTACCAAACTTGGAATTTTTTTATCATTGCTTAGAGAAATGGGACTATATGTTGAGTTTAAAATGGTTATTAATGGTAATAAGATGTAAACCCATTATGTCAAAAGTCTTGGGAATACTTGCTGTTTTAGTTTAAACTTGTAATAATAAAAGTCATAATAAAAATAATAAAAATTTGGAAAACAGAACCACTGTGACTTGAGGTTTCTGCGATTTAAACTGATGGGGGATGAAAGGGAACCCGTGACGAATCACAGAAACTAGATTCAATGGACTACCAGGCTGGCCCTCTAAAATCTAGCGAAAGTAATGTCAGCTACTTACCTGTACAGCGGAGTGGGAAAGTCAGTCTCTAAAGTGCTTTGAGGAACATATGGACGATTTAACACCAGGTCCCGATAGTTTAGGTCGTGGAGAGCCATGGCCGAGGCGGCTGCCCCACGGCATCCAGCCCGTCACCTTCCTTGTGCTTCCAGCGAAGGGTGGGAAGGGCAGCAAGCATTGTTTGCTTCATACACCGCTTGGCAACCATGCTCCTAGCAACAGCGGGGGAAATGGGTGGAGATGCTGCTGGACGTCTGAGGAAATCCAGACCGGATTAAGAGATGCTTTGGCTGGCCATTTTCAGCAGGAGGTTTTGTGTCCTGCGAGAGTTTAAAATCTGAAGTGCATCTCAGGATTTGTAGCCTGCTTAGAATGGCCGAAGAACTGGATGCCTGTAAAAGGCCTTTAATAATCATTCACATGATAAAAGACGTATCATCAAACTCTTTCTTCAGATACTGGCGGAGAAATAAAAACCTCATGTGAATTTAATCAAGATTATGAAATTGTGCATGATTTCTGGAAACTTTCATTGTTTCAGTGGTTGCACAGGTATTTCAGTGGTGTGTAACTCCTTAGCTAGCAGATCAGTCTCTTAAGCAGGCTGTGGACTGAAAAATGACAGAAAAGGTATCTCAATCAGTCAGAATAGGCAGTATTAAAATAGTCTGGGAGGCTCTTGCCAAGGGCTTTTGCAGAGTGGTCGTCCCTGGGGCAAAAATACACAACACCTGTTGTCAGTACCCAGAGTACGAGTAATGCTACCCTGACGTCATTGTGGTGGCGTTATTTGAAGTTTGAAAAGCAAAACTTCATGCAAAATGCACATGCTCGAGAATTCTTGGTTGCAGCAGGGCTGGCCAGCAGCTTCTCTATTCTAATCTATCAGAAATAAAGAGATTAATTCTAAAAGCGTATGGCGGCCATGAGAGAAATGGTTGTGGTTTGCTGCACAACTGACATAGATGGATTTCCAAAAGGGTTCTCCTGAAACCGTGAAAGCAAGAGGTTAAAATTTAGCATAGCGACTGTGTGTTTCCCCCAGGTTCATGTATTCACAACCTCCATCATGTCCATGGGGTGGTGTTTGCTTAATCACACCTTGTGGTCATCATTCAAACCTGAACCAGCTGCATTAATTCAACCTCAAAGCATCATTTATAAGCTGGGCCGTTTCCACTGATCAAGGTAAGATGAACATGTTACAGTCACAGGATGTGCTAAATTTATTATTCAGTTACATGCATATCCTGAAACTTGTGACAACTTGCTAAATTTCACTTTATTATTGAATTGTATTTATAGCCTCTTTTTTTATGAGGATTCTAAGGGCTTACCTAACTTAATCACCACCTTGTAAGGTAAGCTAGGCCAAGAGTGAGTAGACCGAAGTTAACCAGTGAGCTCTGTGGCCATGTGAGGACTCAAACCTGGATCTAAATGCTTGGTCTTTGGTTTTTGCAAATAAATTCCGCAGATATTTCATTTTCCTCCAATTTGGGGGGGGGGGCGTTTTGAAGGCAAAAACATTTTTATATCCTTTTGGCATTTTTAATATTTTAAGGGTGGTTTTTGGATGTGACGGCATTGCCGGAATTAGAATGCAAAGGTACAAAGATGTGTCCATGGAAAAGTTATGTCTGTTTGGCATAACGATATTTTTTTGGACAACCACTCCATTTTTTATTGGGGCAATCCAAAATTCCACAAGCTAGTAAGAGCTCCCAATTGCTCTTATTTTATGCAAATACTGCATTTTTATAGAAAATTAAGGCAATGCATTGTCATACCCCACTCCCCTAAATAAAGCCAGGCCTAATCTGGAGCCTGGAAATTTGGACAACAACAAAATTTAAAAGCTTGGAAAACACTACACGCTTGCCAAGGTAACTTTGAAATTCACAAGTTCTTTTATTACTAGATACATTAACTTTACATTATCAAGGTATAAGTATTTTTGCAATATACCCCTTCCTCTCACCTTGTGTCTTAGACAAAAGCATAGAAAGGGTGCACTACACACACACAAACCTCTTCGCTCCACACACACACACAAGAGCACCCCAACACAAATATAATTTTCATAAACATCTGGCTGGAAAGTGACACGCACTAAATTACAAACTTGCACCGTCTCACCAGCTATCAATCCATTTCTGGTTTCTTTTTCTTTTCTTTTGCCACAAAGCTAACTCAACACACTACACTCAACCAACCACATGAGAATGGGGTACACAAAACTTATTCACACACACAGAATACTTATCTGGAGGCATCCAACCACCCCGTTATGCTCTTCCTCATCCAAAACAGACCATCTGTTAGCCCAACAAGAAACCATGGGTTAATTGAGAGGCTGTTTAGCCTCTAAACAACCCATCTTCACACATCAGTCAACAGCCTATGAAGGACCTGACCATGGGCTGTTGAATGAAAGTGAAGTGGTGGATATATGAGTGGCAGTATTATTCCTCATGGGTTGCTTAACCCAAAGGCTGGGTGGAACTAGGAAGCAGCATCCAAAGTCACTCTCTCTCTCAAGTGGGGGAACCGGGTGAAGGTACAACAGCGTCCAGACAAGAGAACCCCTGTCCGAGCAAACCCTCTCTCTCCAAGTCTAACATGGGCAACTCAGGACCCTCCAGGAGGTTCCTTACATGGAAGCCCTTCCTGGGCACAAGCTACAAAGAACACTTCAGAAACACTTTCGTCCAAGCAGACGTGTTCGGGTTCCCCACAATATTTGGTGGGACGGCTCCACTTTGGAAGGAAAGCTGCAATACCGTCGGTCCAAGGACTCAACCACATGTTCTCCTTGTGTCACAATCGTATCACCACTGTTCCCCTAGCCGGGGAGCAGCAGCTGGAGAGGGTGCCAAAAAACCAATGGGCAGTATACTCTGTTGTTTACCTTGATGTTTCAATGAATCTTTTACCATGTACTTACAGGTCTGAGTATCCCTATTTACCCATTCTACCCTATACTTCTTAGTATGATCAAGCCAGAGGCCGCCAGGTCACCCCAAGTACTGGAGGCAGCATGTCCCTTCCCATGGAATGACCCAGTCGTGGCTTGTGCAAAGTGTAGGGAATTCTTCTTCTCTTAATGAAAACCCTCCATGTGGACCCCTAAAAAGCCACCTTTAGAGTTTCTGGAATACCAAGAACTCTGCTCCTTCCAGTTTTCAGCCATGATTCTCAGATGAATATATAAAATCATACTTGTTTTTCTTTTTCTTTTCCTTTTCCTGTCAGTCACTCTGAACTAGCTGAGAAGAAAATTCTGTTAACCAACCTACACAAAGAGCACCAAGGTTGGAGAGAGCTGCTTAAATAAACGGCTTTTTGGCCCCTTGCTGGCCCAGTCACCCCAGGGTCTGGGCGGTCATCCTGGAGGATCCTGCTTGAAAACACCCAAGAAAGTGCTGGTGGAATTTCAATGTTTTGCTCAGACCCGGTACAGTTGTCTTTTTTCTTCTCTCCAACTCCTCTCCGATTGAAAAAATTCCCACTACTGGCATTTCGAATGCTCCAGTGTACTCATTCTCACACAGACGACTGACTGACACACACACACACACACACACCTACACCTCTCTTTGCAACCTTTCCCCATTTGTTCCCTGACTTGAAGGATGGGCCCAGAACTTTGGCAACGTCCCATCCCGCTCGTCCCCTAAGTAACATCCAACTGTATTCATAGGCAACTATTTAATAGGGATCTCCGAGGCTCCTCTGAACAGGCAAACTGACCTGTCACACCCCCATCTACCCACCCCCAACTCCCTGGATCATGGCCTCAGTTTCCATGCGTGTCGATTAGTGCTTCTCGACTCCAAAAAAAAAAAAAAAATCTTGTCCTGGGTTTTAACGTATCCGGGTGAAGAGGTTAAGGACGGAAACGGACTCCTAGGATCAAAAGAGAGAAACAGTCAGCTCCGTGCCCCTCCACGGATGACGAAGCCTCTGCTCACACCAGCAGATGCACTGACATCACCCAAAGGGGAGCCCCGCGAGAGCAAAACAAGCCCAAGCCCCGTTTCCAACGGAAGAGCAGGCGTGTGGATCACAGAGATCTGTGCGCTATGTGGCAACGGCTGCAGGTGCTCTGGACTGCTCACAACGGGGCTGCGGGACCCGGCCAACTCCCCTGCCAGCCCTCCGCTGGGAAATGCCACGGGAGGGGCTGAAGCAACTGACTGGGACAGCTCCGCATCCCCAGAAATGGCAAGCCCTGCTTGAAATGCAGCAGCAGCCAAATTCTGGGGCTCACACTGAAGGTGGACAGGCGGCCGTCACACGCGTTTCTCGCAGCTTCCCATCACGCAAACTCCGCCGTGCTCACCTTCGTGGAGCGTGTTTTGCTGAAGACATTCCAGAACCTCAAAGTCTCGTCGCCCGCTCCTGTTACAATGGCTTCCCCATCAGGGGACATCGCCTGCAGAACAGACGGATGAGAACCGAAGTGGCCCAGGAGTGCTTCGAAGGAGTGGGGCGCTGCTGCAAGGCAGAGCCCCCCTCCTGAGAAAACACACCTGCCGACTTGCAGAGGCACACCCGCAAGGCCGGGGTGGGCCACAGAGGGCTGGGGGCAATGCTCACCAGGTAGAGAACTCGGTACGAATGACCAGTTAGCTTTGCCACTTGTGTCAGGGACGGGTATTTCCAGACAAGGATCTGATTCTGAGAGTATCCATGGGTGCTCACCTGCCGAGAGAAGGTCTTTCAGGAGACAGCTGGGGGTGGGGGGAGGAATCTAGCATGGGTGCTGAGATGCGGAGCAGCAACAGGTAGCTTACTGGTAGGATCTGGCTCTCTGGAGAGGCACCCCCTTCCAGCTGCCAGCTTGGAAGCAAGGCGAAAAGAGGGCTTGGACTTCGGAATTTCCCGCAGTCCAAGTTGAGAAGCAGGGCTTGGAAGCTGCCTCTGGAAGGCACCCCTCCCGGGAAGGCAATCACCAGCCAGGGGACAAGGCCAGTTGGATGGGCCCCTTCTAAAGATAACAGGCCATGCAATGCTTGGAACACCTGGATCATGTGGATAAACATCACAGTGGGCAAGCGGCGCTTTTGCTCCGAGGAATTCGGAGGGGGCAGCACCCAAATTTCGAGGGGGAACAGCAGACAAGCTCTGGGGGACACCCACAAGCCTCATTCCTCTTCAGCCCAATTCGTGCCCCTCCCTTGGCCCTCGGACGACGCCTCAGAGCTGTGCTCCAATTAGTACCTACCTGCTGCCCGTTATGGAAAACAAATAACCCACCTTCCCATTCATCGTCCCACCTTCCTCCCAGAAACTGGCACTCAAAAAGCCGGCTGGTCTGCCCTGTGTAAGAACTGGCGCCCTCCATGTTTAAGACTGCAAGTCCCAGCAAGCAAAGGAAGGTGACACAACAGGCACAAGGAACACCCCCCCTCCACCCAGCCCGGCTGGAATTCCAGCAGTGCTACTGGGGTGAGCTAGCCCAGGGGAATTCCGCTTGCCACCTCAGCAGGGACTGGAAGAGGGCCCCCAAGCTCAAAGCATTCTCCATCCTCTCCCTCGGGCGTTTTGCAGAAAACACCTCTGCCCCTTGGAGGGCTCTCAGCAGAGGTCCTTACCAGCTCGTTGGCGTGTTTCGACCAGGCGAGGTTGCACACCTGCGACCCCGTGTCGATGCACTGCAAGGGCTGCCCGGTCAGTGTGTTCCAGAAGCGTATGCAGCGGTCCGCCGTCCCGCCGCCAGAGGCCAGCAGCCCGTGCTGGTGCGGGGACCAAGCAATGGCTTTGACAGCTGCCAGGTGCTCTGTGTACTGCTGCACTGGGCTGAGGCTGGAGTGGTTCCAGACAAGGAGCTGGGGAGGCAGGAGAGGTGGGTTTTGGAGCAGAGCGGCAGCTCCAGCGGCAGGTGACCCAAAGGAAAAGCCCCTCCAGCACCCCGCCATACATTTGGGGGGCCAGTCGACCTCTTGGCTGTGGAGATGCAGCAGCACCTCAATCTCGACATCCCCTATCACCTACACTGGATCCCCACTGAAGTCCGGGCCCAATTCAAGGTGCTGGTTTCCACCTATAAAGCCCTAAACAGCTTGGGTCCTGGGTACCTGAAGGAGCGCCTTCTCCCCTATGCGCCCCGTCCCTTGAGCTCTGAGGTGGAGGCCCTCCTCTGGGAGCCATCCTTGAGAGATCAAGAGGGTGACTAGCCAGAGGAGGGCCTTTTCTGCGGTGGCACCCCGATTGTGGAACATGCTCCCCAGGTTTGCCTGGTGCCAACGCATTTTTCCTTTTGGTGTCAGGCGAAACCCTTTTTATTCTCCCACTGTTTTAACTGCTGACCTGTTTTATTTAGTGGTTTTATATTTTAGCATCGGCTGCTGTGTGACTGTTACTCTTATTTCCATTTTTATTTTATTGCGTCGATCTGTTGTAAACTGTCCCGCGACGTCTAAGTATGGGACGATGTAGAAAAGTTTTAAACAAACAAACAAATGAACAAACATGGCCCCTGCTTTTTCCTTCACACTCACCTCATTCGCAATGCAATAATTGGACATCCATCTCCCCAGAACCAGGTGAAAAGTTCCATTCAGCCAAGTTAACTATGCCGGGTTTTTAAAAAAATGCTTTGCTCCCAACTGCTGCAATTCACCAATTCATTGTTTTAAATGGGGATTCTATCCTGCTTTTCAATTAAAAACCGCTCGAGGCCACTTAGAAACATAGAAACAGAGCGAGTCAGAAGGGGTCTCCCAGGCCATCTAGTCTGACCCCCGGCTCCAGCTAGCTCCGCTCCCTTTGTTCACTCGCTTGATCGGTCGGTCCTCTGGGGTGGAAACGCTGGACTGTGCCACATGCTGTGAATGCACCTCCACTAGTTCCGTCGTACGGACTGTTAGCACCAAACAGTTGCTCAAATGACAGAAGGGCCAGAGGGCTTTTCCGGGGTTTGCCAAGTTCCCTTCTGCGGCCACGGCAGACTGGACCCATGTCGGAAAAGAGTGTTTCTAATTTTGAAGGATTTTCTAGCTCTGGCTGTGCTAGCTGTCCGTTCTGCTTGCTGAAGGATGGAGTCCAATAAACTAAGCCAAAACACCACACACACACACACACACACACACAGAGTCCATGCTGCTCTTGCTCGTCACTTTACTACAGCATTTTCTGTACTTTTCCTAACAATTTCTAGCTCCTCTAGGGTAGGTTATTTATGTAAGCTGTTTTTCCACCCCAAAACACCCTGAAAGTGGCATCTGATGGTAAACACACATAATACAAATAGCTATTAAATGCAATAGCCGAATACATGGGTGCTGTTAAGTAGCTAGACATGATGCATCACGCAAAAGCAAACACAACGTACAAAAATGACCTGAGCAACCTAAAACGAAACTGAAGGGTCCCTGGAAAATTACAGAAAGGGCTCCTGGGACAAACCACCCCAGAGCTTGGGTACCGCAAGCAATGAAGTCCCATCTCCCATACCTAATGGTGGTGGATGCAAAACACAGGAGTCTCACCTCAGCGGAAAAAAGGAGCAGAGGGGCCTTTTCATTTTACGCTTCGAGAGACAGCCTGCCCGCTGCCACGAGGCCATGCAGGCCAAAGGGGGAAACTGTTTTTCAAATCAATGAAACAAAAGCAAGACACCCCCAAACCTTTGCTTCTGGTCAGCACCCGTTCTCAGCTACCCACACATCTTGCAGCAGGGGTGCCGAAGCTCAGGTTCGGGGAATAAAACCTGCCCACCTGGCTCCCAATCTTGCCCTCCGCAGCAGGGGCCTCGTTCCCTCCAACACTGCGGCAGGTTTCTGGCTCCTGATGGGGATCTCCGGCGTCCACAAAGGCTGGACTGCCACCCGTGAGGGCTAGTTATCCTCAGCTGTAAGAGGCTGCCATCTTGGGCGTCACATATCACTAGGGCGTGGCCCCCGAGAAGGGCCCTCGCTGAGCAAGAGATGCCACACCCCTGCTTCCCGGTTTCAAGCACGTGCAGCGTGGAGGAGTGAGGACGCCCAGACAGGCAAAGGGTGTTGGCACTCTACCTTGTTGTCGTTGCCACCAGATGCCAGGAGCTGGTGGTCCGTGGACCACTTCAGTCCACACACTTCCTGCCTGTGGCCTTGGAGGCGTCGTTCGGTCTGCACCGGAGGGGTCCGGATGTCTCGCTGCAGGATCATCCGGTCCCGACTGCCAGAAGACAGCTGGTCTGCATTCCACGCCAGAGCACCTGCGACAGGGAATTCGACACGTGTGCGTGTGCATGAATAACCTTCTGATGAGCGAGTCGAGAGTGTGCTCTGCTCGCTGGAAGGATTCCCTTCTCGGTTAGGAGGGTGGGCATCGGTGTGCAGTGGTGAGAAGATACTGCTGACTAGTAAAGGCAGCAAGCCCCCGGGTGTTAGCAAAAAGAGAAACCTCGGGAAAGAGGAGTGACTAAGGAGTTAACCCAGCATAAGGAGGGCTACCAGGGAAGCTGTTCCATGAACCTGAAGACACCAAAGCTCAGCAGGTTCTGAAGAACGCCCGTTCTCAGAACCAACATTGACCCAGGTGTCCCTGCTGGGACGCCTCGCAAACGCCAGCAAGAGATTCTTACAGCCCTGTTCACGCTGCAGCCTTAACTCCATCCGAAAGGGTATTTTATTAGCACAGGCAGTTTCTCCATCAGGCCTGGGACCCTCCAATCCGACCAATGAGGAAGCAGCAATACAGAGTCAGAGGTGGGAAAGGGTCTTTGCCCTCTACCAGATACTGTTAATGGGAAACAAGGTCTTTAGCACACAGCACGGATGTTCCACCCCTGAGCTACAGCCTCTGGTCCTTCCTGTGCCCTTCATGTCGTTACAATCTCTATACTTTCTGGTCCTCTTCCAATCATTAGGTATACTCAATTTTCTGCCCAGGATCCACTCTTTCTCCCTGATCCTGGATAAAGGCCACTGTGCACATTTAGTAGGGAAAAAGAAACCAAAAGAAACAGTGGCGCTTCTTGGCAGCAGGGCTATTTTTTCTGTAAACCAAACGAGGTTGCTGTTACGTTCTGTCAAGCTGTCTCTGACTTAGGACAACCTTATGAACAAACGCCTCCCAGAGTATCTTGTCCTGGACAAGGCTGCTCAGTTCTTGGAAAAACAAACAAAACTTAGGCTGGGCCTGATACGCCACAAAGAAACAAGCAGAAGTTGGATCTGTCTACCTCCTAGTTGACTGAGATTCGACACTGCGCCTCTTTTAGTTGCTTCTAATTAAAAAGCAGTTTGTCGCCTGCTTTTCAAACCAAAGTGGCGGCCCAAGAAGAAAAAAATGCCTCAATATTCAGAGCGTGATAAAATAAATAAAGAGGAGAACCGGCAAAACAGTCAGCAGGTAAAACACAGCATATTTCCAATCCTTATGTAGCTGGCACAAGAACTAAGAGAAATAGTGGAGGAGAGAGGAGAGCAACCAAGCGGATTTCCATAGAGGTCGTCCGACTCAGCTCGCCAAAGGAAGCGTGGAACGGCATAGGGCCAGCAGGAATAACCCCGGCACGCCGACAAGCCCAGGAATGGTTTAAGCACAGGAACGGTTTAATCTAGCATTATGGGAGGGCGAGGCATGGAGGTTGGCCGTGAAGTAGCATTTAAGGTGGAAGTCGCACCTACGTGCTTATGGGCCGAGATCGCTGCAGGGTGCAGCCGTGTCCTGTTGCTGCCTTCGTGCCCCCCCCCCACCCCCCAGGCGCTCTCCCCCAACAGCCCTCTGTCCACGGCATTCTCCTCACCCACTCTTGCAGTGTGGCCTTCCAACACGGACAGCTTCTTTCCTGCAGCGGCATCCCAGATCTGAACGAAACCTTTGTGGGTCCCGACGGCCACCAAATTGCCCTAAACAAGCAGGACGCAAAGCGAGACTTCACGAGGGGAAGAGGCAGGGATGGCGGCAGAAGCTGGGACTCTGTGGAACCCACGGCACCCCAACGGGCCACGCTGAAGACGACGGACATTGGTGGCTGCCCGCTTCTTACCTGCTGCAGCCATGATTTGGAACCTTTTGCCCAGAATGTGTTCCTTCAACAGCTCAGGTGTGTCGCCAGAGCCCACGTTTCTTGCCCTTGCTTGTGTGTGTCAGTGCAAAATAAAGCAAGATACTAAATGGCATTTCTTTTTGCAGAAACTGAATGCATATACAGTCCCGCCTGAAAGAGATCAGGATCCTTTCAGGTGGGATCATTACCTCCCCTCACTTACTACCTGATCTCCTGAAAGCATTTTCATGGGTAATACTGGAGCCTGAATTTAATCGGGCTTGAAGCTGGGATCTACCACAGCCCAAGCACATCCTCCACCACTGAGCAACCTCTGGCTGCAGTGGTCCGTGGACAACAAGACCCCTTGCAAATGTGTTGACACAAGATCCTTCCAACTGGAGATGCTGGGAGGTGAGCCTGGGGTATTCCAAAGGCAGAACTCGAAATCTTTGGAGAGGGATTACACATATGTTCCCTCTCCAAACAGAACTGGTTTTGAGCACCTCACCTTTCACCCCACTGTCCCCTGTGGCTTTGATTTCAGCATGAATTAGATTTATCTGAGGCAAGCTGAGACGGAAGAGTAGCTTGCAACTTCCAGGGCGACCTGGCCAGCTCACAGAGCACTGTGCCCTTAAGCTCTTATTCAGCCTAGATTTAGTCCTGAGCAGTGGCTGATGGAAATGCGGCCCAGTTCCTCCTCTGGTGAGGGTTCCACAGCATGGCGACAATCAGGAGTGCCGGACATTTCCCTTTTAGTTGTTACAACCAAAGACCAGAATGCTAGCTGGGAAACTTCAATTTACGGCTGGCAGCGAGCACTAGAGCCCAAGAGCTCCCAGCACAGGCGTGTTACAAGAAGAGCTGGCTCAAGCATCACAGTATGGCCACCACGTTTCGCCATATTTCCCACATGACAAGCACACTGACCCTCTCTGACCATCCCACGGAGGTTACAGAGTCGCCTTCCACGGAGAGGTCACAGAGCCGAGTCACCTTGAGAGGGGGAAAAAAAAGACCAGAGAAACAAGAATCAGCACGAGAGTTTATACTGGGACTGATAAAAGCAGCTAAGGCATACTTTAAAAATTCCCCCACATGATCTCACAAACAGATGACTCGCCTTGTGATGGAAGGGATACAAACCCCATTGCCTACCACCCTGAGCCCACAGGAAGATAAACCCCTGTAAGAAGCGCATATATTCCAAGGAGCAAGTATCCTTCAAGTACCCCTTTACCTGGCTGGTGCACGCACTCCAGAGATAGACACAGGTTCCAAGGCCAACACTGAGGACATTGAGAGAGGACCAGTCAACCAGATTCAAGTAGAAGTCATCCTGCAGCTCTGGGGCATCCAGAACTTTGAATGGGATCTTGGAGATCTTCCTTGTTGGCTTTCGGGGGGATCGAAGCAGCTTTTGGCTGGTGTTGGGAGTAATACAGGGAGGGGATGTAAAAAAGAGAAACGTGGTTAGTTCCATGAGCATTATCCCAGAGCTAGGTATTATCAATTCTTGCAGATGTCATGAAAGCAAGCACCATCTTTTAAAGTATCAAGCAGCCAACATCTGGGAGTACTTCCTGAGGTCACTCTTGAGTGGTGTTCTCAAAAGCAGCTACATTTTGGGGGGATGTTCTCTGCCTATTTTTTGTTTTAGAAAGGTTATCTGGAAATATCAAGAGGGGAGGATTTTTCTCAGTGGCAAATCTGCATGTCCTTAGGGAACTCCTTTTTTTGAATCAATTGGCCAATAGTTTGACCGCTCTAACAATTCGGGAATGTAGAAACTGTTTTAAAGCAAGGAACAGCAGAGGGAGGAGGGCAGGAGCAAAGTTTGCTGAGTGCTTCAAAGCCGAATGCACGCAACCCACTCCCCATCCTGGTAAGGCCATTAAAACTAGGGCCTCCTCGCTCAGCTCCACCAACAACGTCCCTAGAAACTGCTTGCTGCCTCGCCAAAGCCCTGCCATAATATACGCGCCTGACACATCAAGGACAGTGTCTGAGGGGTGAAGAGGGAGCACAGTCAACCCGTGGCCACCCTAAACGATTTGGCTGCACAGCCAGTCGCTTTTGTCTCACTGCTCCTACAGTGCCCAGCTGCAGAGAGACACAAAAGAAGGGAGAAAGGAGCCCTTCCAGAAAAACAAAACCCAAAAGCCCAAATACAATCTAGGCTGGGGTCCTCAAACTTATCAAACAGGGGGCCAGTTCATGGTCCCTCAGACGGCTGGGGGGCTGGACTACAGTTTGAACAAAATACGAATGAATTTCTACGCACACGGCACATACCTTATTTGCAGTGCAAAAAACCCAGGAAAAAACAATACAATATTTAAAAAGAAGAACGATTTTAATCAACATAAACTTATTAGTATTTCAGGGGAAGCATGGCCCTGCTCTTGGCTACTGAGATGGCCAGTGTCTGGTCCCATATTCGCTCCTCTCTCTGGGATTCAGAGCCAGCGTGTGCGTGGCTGGCGCACGCGCAATTCACGCTGGCAAGGCCAGCGCAGCAGCAGGAGCGAGCCAGAGCTGGCAGAGAGAGCTGGCACATGCGCAGTTGAAGGGGGCAGTCACCCTTTGGTGCGTGTGCCGGCTCTCCGCCAGTCTCCGAAAGTGAAAGAGTTTCAGAGAACGCCTGTGCCGGCTCACAGCTTCTGGACTCGTTCGGAGAGCGTTTTCTCCAAACAAGCCTGAAAGCTCTCAGGCAGGCGGTATCTGGCCCCCAGGATGTGGTTTGAGGACCCCTGATCTAGGTGCTTCTGCCTTAGTTTCCCACCTGCTGCCAAGCAAATGGAGGAGGAGAGAACTTCCCCCTTTCTGCACTCTCTGGTTAATGGGAGGGTGGTAAAATGGAAGGGCTGCAGTATCTCGGCGGGGGGGGGGGGGCAAATGTCACTCAGGCTCCACCTGCTCCTCCACCAACCTCCACCAGACAGCCCTGGCCGAACCCGGATTCCAATTGGCCTCCCTCTTTCTCGCCTGAGATATGAAGACAGCCCCCGAGAACCCTCGCCCCCATTAACAGACACCCCCAGAAGAGCAGCCAACCTTTTGTTGCTAACCGGGGAGAGAGAATACGGGGAGACCTCGTTGCCATCATCCGGGCTGGATCGTTTTGTGGTGAGGGAGTACTAGACGGACAACGAGAAATAAAGCAGCATCCCAGAGTTAGCAGCCATACAGAAGTGGTCCCTCCTCCTGGGGGGGCGGGGGAGCCAAAAATACCTTTGGACCCCACCCATCCAAGTCCAACACTTGTCCAAGCAACAGGACCCTGCCAGTCTGTCTTTCCAGTGATATGATCCCTGTTTCCTGCTACTCAGTTTTATTTATTTGTTGCATTTCCACCCCCCCATTTTCTGTAAGCCCCTTTACGAAGTGCTGGGAGAGAAGATGGGCTGTGATTTCAGCAGGCGGATGCACAAGAGCTGGTAAGCAAAACTACAGTGTGGGGGAGGCAGAAGCAGCCCTGCCTTGCCCTCCACAAGACAAAGGATGTGTGCTGGGAAGGTGCTGATTTGCCCGATGGATCAGCCGCCGGGTGAGCAGGGAATGCCAGAGCGTGGCGCAGCTGAGGCTTCCCAAGCTAGGGTGGCAGCTGCCCAGTCGCCTTGCCTGTGTAGCAGCCTCCCTATGTGGGGAGGGGCCGCACAAGTGAGTCCCTGGGCCTTCAAAAATCACACAACATCCCCGGTCCGTGACCAGAGATTACAGCCCGGCTTCTAAGGGCCACAGCCTGGCAGCCAAGCCCTGCCCTCTCGGAGGGTTCCATGGGCCGAACAGGCTAGGAAAGGACCAAGGTTGCTAGAAAGGCAGGTAGGAAATGAAGCTTACATTCCCATTTCTGTACTTAATTCCTGAATACCCCAAGCAGCACCTACCTCCAAGCCTGCTTTACCTCCCAGCTTTGCTTCCTTTCTGGAAGGCCCTGCCTCACCTCTGTGTCAAAACGACGGCAGATAATTCCCAAGGATAATCCTGCCATTAGCTGTTTGGACACCACAGCCCTGGCTCTGCCCAGCTTTCCTGCTTCCCGATCCTACTGCTTCGGTTTCTCTGGGGGAGAGGGGTTGAGAACGGGAGAAAAGGTACCGTGAAGAGACTTTTCTTCTCAGGGGTGGAGGGCTGCAGCCGCCTGTCCTCCGTCTGGGGATCCTGTACTTTCTCAATCCCTGCTCCCAGGAGCTCATTCTTTAGCAAGGCTGAATATGCTAGGCCATCTGCGTGGACGAGAGAAGGGGAGAAACCTGAGGGAGGAGGAACTAAAGGTGTCTGCTTTTTTAATAGGACAGAAGCAACTGGGTTAGATGCAACATTCCACAGAAAGGAAGAAAAGCACAGAATTGGTAAAGCTGAGAAAACATAAGGCTCTGTTAACAACACAATAGTGACAAAATATGCATGCCAACTCCAAATGTGTCATACTAAAATTACTAGGAATCTTACAATCACACCAGTATCAGAATTAAGATTTGTCCTTCACATTTACTTGAAATCCAGTAGCACAGAATACAGTGGGGCTTATCTCTAAGTAGAGATGAATTATCACTGCACCATGAAAAACCTACCTATATATTCTTCAGAGCAACCAATAAAATACATCATTTAAAAATGTCAGCCTACAAAATCAGTATCTCCAATGTGCTATTTCAGGTAAAAACACCTATCTGACGGAGATGACTCAACCTGGATTCCTTCCTTCACCTGTCCAAGGTGTCTATGACAAGGTTTCGAGGTGGCTGGATGGAGGGGATGCGGTGGATGTGGTTTACCTGGATTTCAGCAAGGCCTTTGGCAAAGTGCCCCATGATATCCTGGTTGAGAAACAGGAGTTTTGGGATACACCAAAGCACTGTCTGGTGGATTAGGGCATGGTTGACTGACCGAAAGCAGAGGGTAACTATTAGTGGGGAACCATCGGGATGGTGGCCAGTGACAAGCGGGGTCCCCCAGGGCTCTGTCAGAATGATGTTCAATGTGGGTAAGTGCAAGGTCTTGCACTTGGGACATGGGAATGGGTGCCATAAGTACAGATTAGGGGACAAGTGGCTGGAGAGCGGCACTTGCGAAAGGGACCTCGGGGTGCTGGTTGACTGCAGGCTGAACATGAGCCAGCCGTGTGATGCGGTGGCCAAGAGGGCGAACGCCACCCTTGGTTGCACAGCCAGAAGTGTGGCTTCTAGAGCGAGAGAGGTGTTACTGCCACTCTACACGACTCTGGTGCGCCCGCAACTGGAGTATTGTGTTCAGTTTTGGGCCCCTCGTTACAGGAAGGCTATAGCCAGGTTGGAGTCAGAGCAGCGTAGGGCCACAAGGTTGGTGGCCAGTTTGTAGGGGATGCCGTATGAGGCGAGACTGAGGGAACTGGGTCTCTTCAGCCTGGAGAAGAGGAGGCTCAGAAGGTATCTTTTGGCGACATACATGTATGTGAGGGGGTGTCACACAGAGGTGCGTAGAGACCTGTTCTCCCCTGCAGAGGAAGGCAGGATGCCCTGTAACAGAGCAAAGCTCAGGGAACCCAGGTTCCATCTGGATGCCAGGAAGCATTTCCTGATAGTCGGGACCCCGAGGGTATGGACTGGGCTTCCATGGGAGGTGGTTTAGGCCCCACTGGTGAGGGTGTTCAAGGGCAGGGTAGATATGCACATGGTGGGCATGTCGTGAGCGGAGCCAGGAGTCAGACTAGATGGCCCGGGAGACCCCTTCTGACTTGCCCTGTTTCTATGTCTAGCAAAAAGGATCAAGCCCAATCTTAGCTATCTCCCAAAGATAAACACAAGGGAACCTCGTAATAACTGGCATCCTCCACAGGGAGCCACAGCTAAGCAGGGAGAAGTATGGACAAAGAGACGGGGCTGGAGTCTACCTTTGCCATTGTCCGATGTGGCATCTTTTGCTTTTCTGTTCTGGCTCGGAGATTTTTCATTTTCCTGGAAGTGCAGACGACAAGGTTAAGCATGCACCCGTGTTCAAAATTTCCAGCCTGCTCTGGGGATATGTTCTGCTTTGTCACCTACCCAAAACAGGCAGGACAACTTCTGGAGGCCGTCTTTGACCATGGGGGTACATTCCAACCTTCCTTGTGTGTGTACTGGGAAGGATGCTCCCTTCCGCATGCTTTTCTAGGGATTGCTCAAGGGAAATACTTGGTCAAGCTTTTTACGAGCATAATAAAATTACATTAAACATCACTTCCTGCCACAGATCTAGAGTTAATGTCACACATCTTGTTAAAGCAGGGACTGGCTTCAATGAAACCTTCCCTGCTTGAATTTGTACTAGGAGTAAGTATGTCGGACTGTATAAAAAGTAGCTATCACTCTCACTCTAGACTTTAATATTTCTGGAACTCACCAAGTTTATCGCTGAAATTCTAAGCTCTCTGAGACAAAGAAAGCAATCTTGTTATGCTCCCTGGGCTCTGAGCGTCTTACGGACTAAAGGGTGGATCAGAAAACCACTCTGACGTCGTAAAAGCTGCGATGCCCGAGAGCCAGTGTTCCACTATCCCAGCGTTCTGTTTGTGCAGCTGCACACAGGAAAACTCCCACGCAGGGTGTGAGTGCCAGAACCTCTCACCCAAGTTTGGAGATTGCAGAAAGACATTGGATGCCCAGTGGTAGCCTCATCCATTAAAACCCCAGAAGTAGGCATCAGAAATTGCTCCCTCGCCCACCAACTGCCTCTGAGGCTGGAAAATCAACCTTGGAGGGGTGAGGAAAGAACATTCCAGTGGAATGGAGGGCGGGGGAAGAGATCGCCTCCACTGTCAAGGGTGCAGACCACCAGACTGCTAACACTGGGACAGCCTGAAGACGTTCCCCATGTTTTGACTGAATTGGGGAGGTCTAAGGAATTGTTATTACTCCATTCTTTTTGACTCAACCAAGGCTTCCCCTTCTGTACTAACAAATATTCAGAAACTTCATTTAGCTAGCCACCTTACACTTCATATTAGAACCCTGGCTCAACTTTCTCATGCTTTTGTATGAAATGCCAGGTTGCAAAGGTCATTCTGACTAAACTTCCCAAACAACTTTCTGAATCAAAAACGTTAGCTACTCAAAGGCTTTATGTCCCCCGATAAATAACTTGTATTTTTTGTAAAAAAAAGATCAGAATACAATAGAACCGTGCGCTGTTAGGACAGGCTTTGGGAACAGACGTCACTGAAAATAAGTACATAATGATACTGTGATTCATGTTCTGCCCCAATGCAGGAGAAATAGAAGCTCTGATTTCTATTGATAGTTGGACAAATTATTTTACTAAATTGCATGGTTCTCAGATAATTTATCTCCCTGCTGTAGACAATGGTTCTCCCTGGTTGAGATCCAGTGCTATTATCTAGGATGAAAAGCTTGACTGAAAAAGCTCTTTAAACCTCCAGGAGAAAATGTTTTTGCATCAGAATGGCTTAAAAGATATTCCAAGTGGTGGCCTCTATTTTTTGCAGAGTGATTCACCCCAAAGAATTCAATACTTATTTCCTCCAAGATGGAACTCAGTCTGCAGCTGAGCCTATTTTTAAAGTCCCCTTCCTTCTCAGAATTATACACCAATTAGCCAGTTGGCCATTCTTCCCAAAATACCTGCTACATTTTCTTAATAGATATCAGGATGGTTCTATTTATTATTGTTTAACAATAACCCACAAAACACTATTTAACATTAACTCACAAAGCAAAGGGGGTTTAGGAACTCCTATTGTTTTACTGGTCGTTGTTACAAGTTCTCATATAGGAGACGGCCATCCTCCCTTTCCAGGATGCTACCAAATACTGGATAAAAAGTCTGCCTTCTAGGCATCTTCCCCTCCTCCTCCCTCCACAGACTAGGTTGTCCTGCAATGCTCACATTTATCCTGTGAAAACTGATGCTCCAATTTGCTCCAGCTCGGGAAGGAATGAATCTGTCACCGTGCTTACTGGGGGAGGAAACAGGGGAGTTTGAAGGTGTTAGTGTCCTCCTCGTGTCCACCACCTGGAATTTGAAAAGTGGGGGAAGGAGCCATCAGAAACACAAACTGATAACCAAGCAAATACCAGGGAGGGGGTACGGGAGATGGGGAAACACTGCAATTTCCACTAGAACAGTACTTTTTTATTTTACAGAACTGATCCCACAACATTTGCATTTTAACCCTTAATTACAATAACATGATACAGTAAGAGACCATCCTAAGTACACTGACATATGGCTGCGTAAATGTGCAAAGAATCGTGCAGAAAAATTGCAGCCTCAGTGTCAGAAGAAAGAAACCATGGGGCTACACAATTTCAATCTGCACATTAAATAAAATGGTTCCGGAAAGCTGCTGTTTCGTTTCAAGCAGAGTATTTTTATTAAAAGCATTTCCCAACCAGAGCAAAAATGCTTTCCCAGGGGTTGAAGGGACTATGACATCAGTCCAGCTCGACCCCTCTACCCAGTAACAGAGAGGTTCGCCTGGCACTGAGCCTATATTCTTTTTGGCACCAGGTGCAAACCCTTTTATCTGAACGTTATTTTAAGAATCAACGATTTTAGAAGTTAACAGTGACTTTAAAAAAAAATTCTGGTTCATTTATTTTTATTGGTTTAATTGGATAGAATTTTATTACTGGTTGTATTTCTCATAAATTTATTATCTATTGTACTATTGATTATACTTTTATTGTTGTGGATTTTATGTTTTGTAAGTCATCTTGAGATGGTTGGTGAAAGACAGAATAAACATGTTTTGTTAAAAAGCTATTAACAGCACTGGGATTTTTTTTAACTGTCGAAAGGACAGCTGCTCCACCTCTGCAAAGCAATCATGCATGCATCCAATCACCCGTGGCTCAGTTCTTCGGTCCTTCCACTGTCCCCACTCTCTTGAAACTGCAAACCCTTCTGGAATTTTGTACCACGCCCACTCTGAAACCAGCAGAATTTCAAATGCTGAACCATAATAATGTCGACTTACACAAGGCATCATGTTTTCATTCTGGATATTGATTTGACGGAGAAGGCGCCTTTCATAATCTTGATCCATGGCGAAGATGCAGGGATGAGGGGAAGAAAAGGTCGAGTGGCTTACACAGTTCTGCTCGGAAACCAGGGCGCAAGAAATACGCTACAACAAGAACCAACATGTCAAAACGCTGAGCAACTACTTTGGAAAGACTAAAACCACACAGCTAAGTGCTGTGCAGTCTCCATCCAAATCGTCCTCCAGAGATAGGTAACAAGTACCCTTCTCTCTGGAAGCAGGAAAGGCCACTGGGCCCCCTCCAGAAGTTTTCAATGACATCCGCCCACAATTTCTTATGCAAAAGAGTCCCAGCTTAAGAGAACCAGTCGTCTCTGCTCCCGGTCTTAAAAAGGGAGGTTTGGGAGGAAGGAGAAAACTATGCTTTAAAACAGGGTGAAGGTGGATTAAGATGGATGTACGCACTCAGGTTTGCAGTACAACAGCTGCGCACCTGATCTGGCTTGCTCTTTGCTGGGCACTTCTTCTTTTCTGCCTTTTATTTATTTGATTTATATCCTGCCTTTTCCCCACAAAGGGCTCAAGGCAGCTTACATCATTCTCCTCCTCCATCTTATCCCCACAACAACAACCCTGTGAGGTAGGCTGGGCTGAGAGTCTGTGACTGGCCCAAAGGCACCCAGTTGGCTCGATGGCCAAGTGAGGACTAGAACCCAGATCGCCCGAGTCCCAGTCCCATGCTCTAACCACTACACCACACTGGCTGTCTTCCGACTTCAAACCTAATCTGCTTTTCCTCCCATCCACTCAGGGCAAGATACGTCTTGGAAACCCCTCTTGTGGCTAGATAAAGCTGGACAGCGGCTGTTTTTGCTTCCTACCCCATTTCTCTGGGCCAAGATGTCCCTAGGCAGCCCTTCTAGGGGAACTCATCACATTTGTCCTCCTGCCTCCTTCAAAGGTTCCCCCTTCGAGCAGACAAAAGCCACAGAGCATTTTCCTTGTCTTGCTCCCAAGTACAAACCTCCCAGAATCGATCTCTGAGCATGCACAGAGCGGTTTGTTGAACCCAGTCTAGTTTTCAAGTCCAGGGACTCTCCTCCTTATGAAGGTGCCTGGGCCCCATAACCTCAGGAGGGGCTTTCTGAAGGTGAGCACACCTCCTCTCCATGAACTGCTATTCAGGTGGGCTTCTGCTGATGCTTTCCCATGGGATTGAGAGTGGGCAGGAGGGGGCAGCCTGTGTCTGAGAATTCCTCATCCTCAGAGACTCCTCCCACTGGCTGTACATCAGGATAGTTCCCACAGACCACCTGGCTTGGCAAAGCACCTGGCCCTGAGACAGTCACTTCCTCCTGCATCTCAGAATCTTCACCTGCCCCCCCCACACCCCACAATTCCACTGCAATCTACCTGCTCCTTTCTCTTTCTGAAGAACAGTCTGGGATGCAGCCAGCAATCTGTGGGAACCATCATCCAAGACTGCCATTTTAACTCCCAACATCCCGAGACCATTTGGCAGTGGACATATATAAAAAAGTTGTAAAATAAATAAATAATGCTGAAATGGAGAACTCCTGACTGTTGACCAGACCAGTTATGGATTATGGGAGTTGTAGTCCCTGCAGGACACCTGGTTACCTACAGCTGCTCTAGGAGTGGATTTAGGCAAAGGGCACACTACAATTTTATATGCGGTTGGCCTTGGAGCCCTAGTTAATATGGTATCTATAATGTCATGTTTAAGCTTGTTGTGTAATCAAAATTCGTGTCAATTATATCGTATAGCCGGGAATGGACAAAAGGCAGCCGTCCATACATTTTGGACTTCATTTCCCAGAAGCCTCTGCCAGCATGGCCAGTGATGAGGAATGCTGGGAAGTCAAGTCAGAATAGCTGAAGAGCTACTTTCCCTCCGCCCCCACGACTGGTTTGAAAAAGCCATGCATATCGACAAGAAAAACGATTATTTCACAACGTTTACTCTCTTCTGCAAGGTGTGAGGAAGAGTGAAGAGCTAAGACTCAGAAAATCGTCTCCAGGAACCTGCCACAGGGAGCTGTATCTTATGTACCTGGAACAGAAACTGATCTCTCTTTAAGCTGCCTTCTGTATTACTTTTCCCAAGCTGAATTTTCGATTACAAGCTTATCCAGGACAGGTAGTAGCACCCATATAGGCCGATAGTCCTGTAACAACTAACAGCAACTCAAGTGTACCATTACAGTCATGAGAGCTAGTGTGTTTATTATTTCATTCGATTTCTATGCCGCCCAATAACCTGAATGTTCTCTGGGCAGCTTATGAATGCTAAAACAGCATAAAATACAATAAAACAGAAAACATCTCATAATAAAGTACATCCGCACACCATCATAGTCAATAAATTAACCAAATTAAATAAGTAATCCATAACAAAACATTAAAGTATTAAATTAACCAAAAAAACCACCTTGTTTAAATTAAAAAAAAGGAAATACCAGCACCAGACTCAAGGGCTGGCTCCCCCCAACCCCAAGAGGTGGAATTCCTTTTTCAAAATGAGAAGCACTTTTCTTAAGCCAAATCAGATTTTGTGGCTTTCTGGGCAAACACCCCCTGCCCCTTAGCAGTCCTACCAATATGGTAACTTACTGTGAACCAGCTGTGAGAGCGAGGGAGCAAAACATTTTTTCTCCTATTACCTCCCCCCTGCCCGCCAACCCCGGAGGACATTTTTCATCTTTTTCCAATGGAAAACCAGGAAGTTGAGGGAAAAAAATCAAACATTGCAAAAAATATTTTATTTTTCCAAATGAGTAAAGCATTTTTCTCACTGAGAATGTAGTGTAGAAGGTTTTGATGCAAGACAATCTACAGATTAGAGAATAATTCCTTTGCAGACCCTGTGCCAGCCTATCCTAGCATGAGTTTTGCCAGATGCGTGGGATTACAACTGCTAGCATCCCCCGGGCAGCTGTGGCATATACAGTACTAAGATAAGGATGCATTGTTCCACCTTGAGATATTGACTCCTCCACACAAGTATCCTGCAAACAGAAGTGATAACTCCAAACTTGTTTAGGGATGCCAGCCAAATCATACAGTTAACTCCTTCCATGTGGTTGGACTTTTAACCATTGCCCTGCAGGGCACTGGCACTTTAAAGCTTTTAAACCCTGCCCTTCACAATGTTTCAGGGAAGTAATACAATAAAATAAATAGGCTACAGCAGCAAAATTAAAGAAAATAAAATGCAATCTTAAAACACTATTAACATTTAAAATAATGGGAAAAGTCATGCTCAATGCAGTTCAACTCTTCCCGTATGGCTAATGCGAGCACTAATTCGTTCCATTTACAAGAGGCAGGTATACATAGTTATGCCCTCACACACACGTAAAGGATAATCACCCGAAAAGCATCAAAGATAATGATGTAGCTTACTTAATATGGAGTTATATCCCACTTTTCCCTTACAACAAACTCAAAGCAGTTTACATAATTCTCCTGCTGCTGCTCTCCATCTTCTCCCCACAACAACAACCCTGTGAGGTATGCAGTAACAGGTGTAGAGTCACCCAACTGGCTTCATGGCTGAGTGGGGACTAAAACCCAAATCACCTGTCTGTCCCATCATCTTAACCGCTGTGCCACACTGGCTCTCAAATACTGCATTTGCGATTAGCATTTTTCTTAATGATTTTGGAAAATGAACTTCAGGGGAGAAATTAAACATGCAAAAAGTGTCCGAGGGAATATCCCATCCCACAACATTTTCTGGGGAAGCCACGAAGCCCACTGGGCACCTTTGGGCCAGTCACAGATTCTCAGCCTGCCTCGCAGGGTGGTTGTTGCGGGGATAAGACTGAGAGCAGCCAGAAAAGAATGATGTAAGCCATTTTGTGTTCATTGTGAAAAACGCTGGGTATAAATCTAATAACTAACCAAGAATACATCTCTCACCTCAAAGCACATAACCCTCCGCTCAGCAGCAAGAAAACGGCTTCTCTCAAATTTACTCCTCTCCAAGTCACCCCCGTCCCAGAAGGCTAGTCTAAAAGGAGGAAAAATGGAGTCATCAAGCACCTGTCCACCCACCTAGTGCCCAAATGAGCACTTCAATAACTCACACAGCAACTGCTTCCTCCTCACGGCAGCCCTTCCCTTGGAGATTCCCCCGGACCGCCATATGGGAAAAGAGACGATGCACCCTTGGCTTCCTTCCTCTGAAGCCCAAACCCCACCTTGGTGGGGGAGATGGGGGGTCACCCCCATTTCCCTCCCAACCATCGTGTTCTTGCTTAGCCCGCTTCCTTCTTTCCTCTGCATTAAAGCAAAGGTCTATCTCCTTTGCAAGGGAAGAGGAGCGATGCTCCAACACCCACTCCTTGCTTTACCCAGGAAGGTTCCCGCATCAGCTGCTTCTCCTCAAATTAAATCCCCCAGAATAGTCCCTCCCGTGCAAGACTGCAAGGACAGGGATCGCTCGGCCTACCACTCCCACCACGTCCTTCCACTGGCTAGGCTGACTGGGGCTGATGGGAGTTGCAGTCCAATGGCTGGCTGCAGGTGCCTTCAAGCCAGGACTCTCCTGCACCCCTCCCCGACTGCAAAACGGGGGGCCTGCACCACCCCGCCCCGGCTGGCCTATGGGAAGCGGCATGCCCCGCCCCCTCCCGCAGCTGCCCCACGGCGCCCCTCCCCTAACGGGGCGCCCCAGCAAGGTGGGCTGACCCACCCCACGCAAGCGACCCTCCCCCTTTCAGGCTCCTACGCCAGCACGGGGCAGCACAGGCAGCCCCCGCGCTCCGCTGCAGCCAGGGGGGCGCGCGAGCCCTTACCGTCACTCCGACCGAAGACGAGACGAAAAGTCGCGGAGTGAGCACTCAGCCCACATCGCCTGCCCTCGGCGGGCGCATCCAATATGGCCTCGGTCACTTGCCCCGCCCACTGATTCTCACAGGCGCCGCCTCCTCCCGGCGCGCAGGGCACCACGGGAGGAGCCGGCGGCCCCGCCCGACCTGCGCCCTGATTCGTCCCGTTCGAAACAATACAACCCGAGCGGGGAGGGGGCGGGGAGGAGCGGGGAGCGGGCCGTTGCCTAGCGACCGGCCGCGGCCTAGTCGCTCCCGACGAAGCCTGCTTGCCCGCCGTGCAGCGCGCACAAAAGCAAACCCGAAAAATGTCAACAGCGCTTGTCAGAGCGAGAGGATGCGCGTCACTTTTCTCCCTCTCCCCATAAATATAAATAAATAAGGGCAGGGGAGAGATGGCAGTACTGCTCGTGCAAAATGTGGGGGGGGGGAGACGCCCTGCAAAAAAATATTGGCGATATTTGTACCCCTCTTTGTAAGCAAAAAGGTGCTTCCACGATTAGAAGAGAGACAGTTTAGGATCTCAGGCTAACAGGCAAAGGACAAGGAAGAAACTGTAAATGGTATGACAGATCATAAAAGGCAGAAACATAATTTTTACAATTATCATTATTGTTATTCTGCACAGCCCAATAGTTGAATGTGAAATAATATGCAAAGCCACTCCTCTGGATTTTGCATGGGTTAAAACGCATGCCAAAATACACGTGTGCATGGCCAAGTATATGTGGAGAAATAAAGATCCATAAGTATCTACCTGTATCAGTATGTTGCATTATGAAGAATGCAACATGCACCTGGGCAACGGAAACACTTAGAGCAGAATTCGACCCTGTAGAATTACCTCTATGTTAAAAAAGCAGAACTGACAAAAAATGTGTTAAATGCTTGAGGATGTTGGGAAAATCCAAATAAATCTTTATAGAGAAAGGTTGCTTATGTGTGTCTTTGTGATACAAAATCAAACCAGCCATGTCCCTGCTTCTCTTGCCCAGAAAGAACCTGAACTCTGGCCAGGCTCTCTTTCCCCAGCTGCCTTAATATTCCTTTGAGATTGAGACTCTCAGCTAATCTGAGGCCGCTGCAGCCTTTATTTGCAAAATTAAACTTGTAACATTGTTGGCTTCCACCTTTGGCTGCATTTAGGCTTTGAACCCTGTTACCTGTCTGGACTACAGCAAAACAGCCCCAGCTAGACTTTTCTGTTAGGAAATCCCCAGCTCCTGCCTGTTTAAACTGACACAATCTGTGACAATTCATGTGCTTTCCTATTTGCCCTGTAATACTCTACTAATCACTATTTACCATAACTTTATGTCATAGCCTCTCTGCAGTTCTCATATTGTTCTGTTCATGAATACAGTATCTTGCCAGAAATGAGCACATCAGTCATGGCCCGGGAGGCCCCTTCTGTCTCGCTCAGTTTCCATGTTTCTATGTTGTCAACATCTGTTCAAAGTCTTGCAAGCCTTTAAGCCTCCCTCCAATCTACCTATTTGCGGCTCCCCCAAACAAGAAGCTTATACTTTGATTGGGGCAAATGTTTGCATTTGCTGTTGCAGGAGGGAAAGCAATGGGGAGATGGCTGGTGGCTGGTTTGTCTTTGCCAGAAAAATGCAAAAAGGAAAAAGGTGCTGAGAATTCTCATGGTGGGATTCTTAAAAGGACTGCCAGAAAAAAAGAAAAAAGTAAAGATACAGAGGGAAAGGTTTCTTTTACAACCTTGGGGAAATTGGTTAGTAAAATCCTGGAAAATTGTATGACTGTGTTTAGCAGTGGCAGGCTGACGCTCAAAGGGGGAAAATGTATAATCCAAGGGGAAGACTGATTGTGGTAAGCCATTAGATGGCCCTGGAGGCAACAGGGCAGAGAAGGGGGTGCAAGACCTGAGAAGAGAGACTAGCTCTGAACATGGGTCTTGCACCTTCCTGCCCACACAAGGGGCTGCTTCTGGAAGTCCACCTTGTCAGGCAGGTAATACACTACATCTCCATGCTTTTCCTCTCCAGCTAGTTTATCCCCACCCCACCCCCCCCACCCCACCCCACAATGAAGCTGTTTGTCTCCTTGGAAAGCAAAGTAGGGCAATAAGAATGTTTTGCTGGATGTTGTGCATATGCCATGTGGGAAATTGCCCATGTAAAAGGTGATTTGGTGCATAAGGGAGAAAGAATGGAAGAAATGGGTAAGGGAATGCAGCTGCTGAACCTTTGGGGAAAGGAAAATCACACACAAATAAGAGGGGTCTGCTCAGGCTGTAAGCGCAGCCTGTGATTGTGAGGCAGCAATTACAGTTTTTTCCTTGGGTTTGGTCTTGCAAGCTGGATTCTTGAAAATGCTTAGCTCTGTGGCCTGGCTGAGAAAAAGGGGGATGCTCTGGTAGAAGGTATCACCACTTTGTGAGTGCTGCAGAAGTAGTGTGCACCCACAGCCCCTGAGCATGAACAAAGTGCCTTGGGGAGTTAGGTCAGCTCTGCTTTCAGCCACAGGGTGGAGGCAGGCTGGAGCTAGCACTCAAAAGAAATTTTGGTGTACCTAAAACACGAAGGGTTTGCACCAAAGAGGCAAGGCAGTTGTTGAATGCAGGAGAATCTGAGTGTTCAAAGCTTATAGTGCCCCATGGAGAATATTTGTGTAGAGGAAGAGTTGGGTCAGAACAAGAGACCCTTTAGTATTCTCAGTGAGGGACTAGGGGAATTTTTTTTAAAGGAAGGGAAGCCTTCTAAAAGTGATGTTGTGAGCACGCATGTCAACCACCAGAAAAGAAGAAGGAAATGAAAGACTCAAGCTTTCCTCTCTGCCCAGTCTGGATGACTTTCTTCACTTTCTCACACAAAATCTGAGCTGGGTTAAGAAACCCTCGTTCTAAATCCGGAGTCTACCAACTTGTCATTGCAGTGCCACAACTGAATGGTAGGAAGGGAATGGATGAAACACTTGGAGAGAGAGGGAGGGAGGGAGGGAGGGAGGGTGTGTGTGTGTGTGTGTGTGTGTCCTTACCACAACCCATATGAGGCTACATTTCCCCTTGGGTTAATAGGAAGTCCACTCCCCTTTAGAAATATTGCTGATGCCCTTTAAGTCAGGCCCTAAAAAAAGAGCACTTCTTAATTATGCAAACCACATGAAGCAGTTAAATCTCTCAATGACCTGGACCAATTTTAGGTGGCATACCACCTAGATTCTTGCTCCACAGAGAGAACTTGGTGCCTCCAGAAGTTTTTGAGTCCAGTCCCCATCAGCCACAGCAGCCAATACTTGGGGATTGTGGGAGTTGTGGTTACATCATCTTGAAGGCACCGTGTTGTCTGCTCAAGTTGTATGGCTTACAGGGGCAAGCTAGTTCTTGTAGATCAAATGCCCTACCTGGCCGGTTGCTCCATAATGCATATAACTCACCCATCATACCAGGTAAAACTCCAGCTAAAACTCACGCACAAGTCAAAAAAAGCACAGTACTCAGGAGCGATGTTGTGTTTGCAAGTATTTTATTTTGTTTAAAAAAAAAAGTAATTCCAGCACCCCCAAAAGCAACATAGCGACTTCCCTCTTTGCTAAAACAATTTTAATCCCAATTAGTACTCAACACTAAGAAACGAAATGATTCTGAAGGTCTATGGGAGTCAGAACTAATTCAAAGGCTAAAGACTGGATTTTTAAAATCATGAGAAAGCAGGCAGGAGTATGCTAACAGAGAAATTCCTATTTTAGGCCAAGTGAACTCAGGTTGTCCACCAACAGATTAGGTCTTGTAGCCAGCTGTCATTAGGAAAATCACATTTTTCTATGTATTTTCTGTCTCTGAATACCTGCTGTTGGGAACCATGGTGCAGGCAACACAGCAGTACTTGGGTTCCATTTTGTGAGCAGAATACTGGACTAACTTGACCCTTGTTCTGAAGCAGCATGGTCCTTCCATTGATATGTTATTTTCTCTTCTTTCCATGGGAAAGAGCAAACAGTTCTGAAAATCCTCTCCTTCAATTCCTGTATCGGTGGTTCCACCAACTGCAGACTAGGAACTTCATTTTTCCAAAGGCACAGAGCCTAGGTTCTCAGGCCATTGAATTCAGCATCCTACCTACCAGATTTTTCACCATCTCTCTCCCTCTTTCTCTCCCTGCACATATATGATGGCGAGGGAGGAATTAATTTTAAAAAGAGTGGGCTTGCAACTCTGTGAAAGGCAAAACACAGGCTGCTATCAGCAGAAAGTTGCAGCTTCAGTTCTTGGCCGTTCCAGTTAAAATGATTCTCAACAGCAGGGCTGGAAAAGGGCTGATTGCCTGCCACTCGAAAAACCCCCGCGGCCACAACAATACCAGACTGACAAGTTCAGGTATAAAGTGGAAGGCGTCAATCGGTTTTTAAGGAGTTCCAGTTCTAATCTGGCCATCTGCAGTTTTTTAAAAAAGAATATTCTATAAAACTTGAAACACCAGCCAGAAGAAAGGAATTGCTACAAAGCAGCCCATTATAGACGCTTGAAGAATCCTTTACAAATTCTGATACAGACAGACTTGATCTCCACTTCTCCAACCGGGGTGTCAATTGGAACCTCATTATCCTTTGGACTTCACACAATTCCCAATTTTCCAATGCTACTCTTTGTCTCAAAGCAGATTTTAAAATGAATACTTTGGGGTAAAATGCATCTCAATAAATTGTATTTAAATACATGTAGAAATGCACAATGGATTAAACAATACAGATGGTAAGGTTTTGTGCAGCTTTTTTAAAAATTCCAAGTTAATGTGGAAATGGAGCGGAAGGGATTTATGAATGAACACAAATGGTATTTATACAGACTAAAAATAAGACTAATCTCTCCACCCCTAAGCCTTATAATATTCTTACATGATCTGGTAGGTTAGAAGATGATACTGTAAGATACAGTCCTACCCTCTCAAGCCAGATCTTGGAATCCAGTAAACTTAGAATTAATCATGTGCTTTGTGTAGTAATCTACCGTTCCACTAAGCAACTTCAGGGCATGGTAGAAGGAACAAAAAGCAAACAAAGAGTTGTTCCTAGAAGATTCAGAAATGCAGAAGGCGAGTTTCCCTGAAGAGAAGAAACAAAGAAGATCCAGAAGATGACAGCTACAGGCTGTAGAAGAAACATTTTCAAGATGCACGAGGGACCCACAGCAGTTCACAAGTGCTCACTAGATGTAAGAAAGAGAGAGTGGCATCAATCCATTAAGGGTTTAATTGTCCTGTAACGATGTCTAATATTCTGCGACTGACACACAGGAAGATGCCCTCTTCCCGAAAGCCAACCTCCCCACACATGGTATTCTTTGCTTTTGTTCTTTTTGCACAAAAAACAATGAAGCACACCCAGCTTTATTAATTATATTTATATCCCACCTTTCTTCCATGGTAGAACTCAAGGTGGGGGCATGTGAATATCAGGGGGTCTCCCCTCCAAGCTCAGGCCAGTCCTGGAGCTGCTTAGCTTCGACATGGTGGAGGCCTGATGCCTCTGGGACCACACTCTGGGGCAGGTAACAAGCAGTTCCCTCTTTTGCTGCTCAGCCTTAATGCACAGGGGAATCGCCTGGTTATCTGGCATCCATGCTCTCGGTTGGACTACTGAAATGTGCTTTATGTGGGGCTGCCCATGAAAACAGTCTGGAAGCTTCACCTTGTTTTATGTTAAATGGTTCAGATTGTTTTACTTATGTAGCTCTTATGTTTTGTTATGATTTTATGATGTAAACCATCCAGAGAGCCACGAGGCTACTGTGGCAGTATACGAAAGTGTTAAAAAACAAGGCAAAAAGCAAAAACATTATCTCTCTCCGTGCCATTTCCCCCTTCACTTCGTGGGAGAAGGGCCTCCATGGAAGATCTTAGTGGTCTGATAGGGGAGGAGACAGGCGCTCCCTCAGATATCCCGGGCACAAGCCTTTTCGGGCTCTGTTTGTTAATGTCACCACTTCGAACTGGGCCTCGGCAATGACAGGGAGCCAGTGCATGAAAAGCTTTGCAGAACCCACGGAGGAAATGAAGGCTCAGGGATCGCTTCCAGCCCCCCACTCTGCTTTCACAGCCCTCCCAGGCAGACGGTTGTCCCCTCGCTTGTTGCCACGGGTCATACGCTCACACCTACCTGGCGATCTGGGAGAGAATCTCCTTGACGCGGGTGACCAGCCTCTCGTGCTGCATGGGGTTGCTCTCAATGGCACTGTGAAGTTTCGCCATGTAAAAATCCAAAGTGCTCAGTGTGGGCGTCTCCCCAGTACCTGCCAGAGAGATGCCAATTAGCTACCTGCTGGTCCCCCCAGTCTCCCACTTGAGCATCTCTGCTGATTTCCCATAACATAAGCTACTTCCAGAAATGCCAAAAACAAATCCTCAGCTTCTGGCAACTTGGAAAGCTTTTGCCACACAGTGTCGAGCCCACCCACCTTAAGGACTAGAAACTTGCTGCTTGAAGGGAGGGAGGGAGGGAGGGAGGGAGAGAGAGAGAGAGAGAGAGAGGGAGGGAGAGAGAGACAGAGAGACAGACAGACAGACAGACGCAGAATTCTGTCCTCAGCAGCAAGTCCGGTAATCACAGTGTACAGATGTGAAGTATAAACAGTCTCTGGAATATGTTGATAGATGTATGTTTTAGGGCAGGAGGTTAAGTTGGGAATTTATAACCTGACAATGGACAATATTTAAATTTACCTTTGCTGCTCTTCAAATATTTTAAGCATTGATATTATGTTAGAATACAGCTTTTGTTAAAAAAACAAGAGGGGGGAAGCCAGCCCTGTTGCATTTTAAGAGGATTCCTTCAACTATTATTTTTTTAAAACTTTAAGAGAGGCTTAATTTGGTTAAAATTAATCACAGGGATTGTATTAAAGACCCCCATCTACCCCTTCACCATCACTGAGGAATGACCTAAGAGCCCTCAAGCTAAACAGCAAGGTAAACTTAAAAATATTACAAATCCTACATATTATAGGGCTCAGGGGCCATTCTTGGGTGATCCTCCAAATGAGGAGAGACAGGTGACTACAAAGTAAGGGACCTTTAGTGTTGGCACCCTAGTCATACAATGCCCTCCACAGAGAGGCTCAACTGGCACCTTTGTTGTGGTCCTTGGGGCACCAGACAAATACCTTTCAATTTGTCCAGGCTTTTTAGTAAGGTAAAGGTAAAGGTTTCCCCTTGACATTAAGTCCAGTCATGCCTGACTCTCGGGGGCGGTGCTCACCTCCATTTCCTGGCCAAGGGAGCTGGCGTTTGTCCGCAGACGGTCTCCCTGGTCGTGTGGCCGCATGACTAAACACCGAGGTGCACGGAACGCTGTTACCTGCCCACCGAAGTGGCACCTTTTTATCTACCTGCATTTGCATGCTTTTGAACTGCAAGCTTGGCAGGAGCTGGGACGGAGCAACGGGACTCGCCCCGTTGTGCAGATTCGAACCGGCAACCTTTCGATCAACCAGCCCAGCAGCACAGCGGTTTAAACCACTGCGCCACCTGCATCCCATAGACTTGCCCTGAGGCTCGAATTCAGTACCTTCAGATTATGAGACTGACGCGCTGCCTACTGCACTAAGAAGGCACCTTTTAGTCCTTCAAGATTTAAACAAAAAACAAAAAACGCAACACAGTTTTAGATCTTTGTGCTGCAGCTGGCTTTTGCCCTAGTTTTTATTTGGTTTGACTTCGTTTTCAAGTAAAGGTTTTTGTATTGAGCTTTACTGTGTTGGTATTCTAGAGCACCGAATGCACTGTTCCTGGAGCTCCCGGAAGTATAGAAAGGCTCATAAAAGAGGACAAGTGCGTCTGTCCCTCTGCCAGCACCCTAACACAGGAAGCGCAGAAGCAGGATTGCTCTGCACGGCTCGGCAGGACCAGCCCTCCCCATCACACCCTCGTACCTGGAATGGGAAGGCTGGCGAAACTGGTGGTCAGCGCCTGCCGCACCGTCTGCAGCTGCTGCTGCAGAACCATCATCTGCCTCTTTTCCAGCAGCAGCTCCTGCTCCAGGCGCTCCTTGGCACAGCTCATGCTCTCCGTGTGCTTCTGCAAAATGGAGTTCTGCTCTTCGAACTCCGTGTTCACCTTCCGCAGCCTCCGCAGCTCAGCTTCCCGGGCTGCCACGCAGGGAAAGAGGGCAGGCATGCAACACAGCTTCATGCGGCCGCTCGGAAATTTTGAAGACAACAAGCTTTCCTAGAGGCTAACTGGTCACCCATTCTTCTTTTAAGATTTTAAAAATGTGAATATGATGGATTGATTCTAGATGCATTCAATAGCATATATGAATCCCAGAAAAGCAGCACCATATAGTTGTTCATGATCACACCATCATACCACAATTTCATCATTAAAAAAATTAAACAGAAGTGATCACAAAAGGGCCATTGCAAATGAGTCCTTAAGTAATTCACACTCAAGAAGTTAAAACTCAGTTCAGTGCTTCTGCATTTGCCCATTTTTTTCAGAAACTAAAGAAAGTTAGATACACTTTCAATAATATCTTTTCACACAAGTGGAATTTACTTTAGTCTGTTTATAATAAGGAGACTGCAAAATGTTGAATGTCAGCGTAAAATGTTGGCCCATCATCTCAAACTACAGATATATTGCATTTTTTCCAGTTATTAAAGATGACAAGCTCTGTAATTTCTTTTTCTTAGAAATGCCATGCTGGTTCGAGGTACTTTCAATTCCCTCTATCAGGCTGTATTGATACTGACTCTATTTAATTAGTTTCTACCTTTATTCTGGTCCAAGAACTCCTCCGTGAATATGGGAACGTCAAATGTCGAGAAACCATTGCTGCTACCCTCCTCAGCCTGGTGCAGAAGGAAATATGAACGCTAAGAACACACCCAAGAATAACAGAACACAATACCTTTTCCACTGGCCTAATCTGGGGACACCCTAAATAGGTTCTTGCTTGCTAGTTGCAAACTCGTGTCTGACCCACCACAACCCCATGGACACCATTCCCCCAGGCTCTCCTGTCCTCCACCTTCCCCCGGAGTCCTCCCAACCCCACAGCCACTGCCCCAGTGGCCCCAACCCGCCACCTCAACCCCTTCTTCTGCCATCAATCCTTCCCAGCATCAGGGTCTTCTCCAGGGAGTCCTTCCTTCTCATTAGGTGGCCAAAGTATTGGAGTTTCATCTTCAGTATCCGGCCTTCTAAAGAGCAGTCAGGGTTGATCTCCTCTAGGACTGACCGGTTTGATCGCCTTGCGGTCCAAGGGACTCGCAGGAGTCTCCTCCAGCACCACAATCCAAAGGCCTCAATCCTTTGGCGCTCAGCCTTCCTTATGGTCCAGCTTTCACAGCCATGCATTGCAACTGGGAAAACCGTAGCCTTGACTATACTTTTGTCGGCAGGGTGATGTCTCTGCTTTTTAGTATGCTGTCTAGATTTGCCATAGCTTTCCTCCCCAGGAGCAAGCGTCTTTTAGTTTCTGGGCTGCAGTCTCCGTCTGTGGTGATCTTGGAGCCCAGGAAAATAAAATCTGTTTATTTTACTACCTCCATTTCTTCCCCATCTATTTGCCCAGAAGTGAGAGGACCAGATGCCACGATCTTAGTTTTTCATGATGTTGAGTGTTCCTCCTCTGTTAAAAACCTGGCTTGGAGCCAGGTTATCCAAAGTGGCACCTATTTCCGTAAGTGCCTACCTGGACCCTAAGAGCTACACTTAGAAACATAGAAACATAGAAACAGAGCGAGTCAGAAGGGGTCTCCTGGGCCATCTAGTCTGACCCCCTGCTCCAGCCGGCTCTGCTCACGACATGCCCACCATGTGGACCTCCAGGCTATCCTTGAACACCCTCACAGATGGGGCCTCAACCACCTCTCGTGGAAGCCCATTCAGGGAGTCCACACCCCTAGAAGGAAATTAGGAGTGTGGCTACAAGGAGAAGAGCCTTTTTGGTGTTGGCATCCTGACTTTGGAATCAAAGAGGTTCACCTGGCACCCTCTTTTTTGGCACCAGGCAAAGACCTTTTTTTACCCACAATTTAATTAAGGTAATATCAAAGGTTTTATTTTAAAAAAAAATATCCTGTGCTACTGTGCCTTTTAATTTTATTCTGCTGGTTAGAACTGTGAGGTTGTGCAGTTTTATTGAGGGTTTTTCTCTGTTGCGTTCTTATTGTCATAACGTATTGTTCAATTTATTATGCTTTGACTGAATTTTGTAATTCTTATATATTGTATTCTGCAACCTGCCCAGAGAGCGATTTTGGCTAAGGGGTGGGATAGAAATCGAATAAATATTTAAACAGAGGACGTCCACAGAATCCTATGCATATTTACGCAGAAACAAGTTCTAAAACAGCTGGCAACAGTGTCCCATTGGACTTTTTCCTGTCTTTGCACCCCAAAACCTTTTTGACCAGGCAGTTAAAGAATGGAAAAAGGAGTCAGTGTGGAGTCTGCTACCTTCTGCATGAGCCATTTTGAGGATGCACAGCCTTCCAAAATTCAAACTGTGTCTTGCTATTTGGAGTCTTGCCTGTGGAGTTTAAGCCCTTGCTCCAGAAACCCCCAAACCTAACCTTTTGGATGCCTCCCTAGGCCCAAATTACAGAAAGGGAAATTAATTTCCCTTTAGCAGGGTGGATTTTTTCCCAATTAGAAAAGATAAGCAGCAAACCTGATCGGGGCCTTCTCTGTGGTGGCACCCAGATTATGGAATGTGCTCCCTGGAGAGGTTCTCCTGGTGCTGAGCTTATACTCCTTTCGGCGCCAGGTCAAACTTTTATTTTAAAAGTTAGTATTTTAATGTACAGTTGCTTTTTATTTATTTTCATTCACTATATGTTATTTATTATTGTTAGAGATTGTTTTAGTGTATTTGATTTTAATGACTGTAAGTTGTCCTGAGAGGCTATCCATAAGGGACAGCATATAAAAGTTTTAAATAACCAAACCATCCAGCATTACAATTTGAGATTTTCAACTACCACCGGAATGAATGCTATAACAATTAACTGTTGTACAATGTATACTTTTTGCATCATGCAACAAAACACATTTTACATGCTAAGTGAAATTCCAGGCTGCTTGGAGAATGAAAGGGCATACATAAACCCAGGACTGGCACCTGGAAATATCCACGTATCTCACCTGCTCTCCTACAGTCTTTCTATTTTGCTATCGAAGTAGGTTTTTCCCCAGGTGCTGCTCAGCTGCTTACCTTGAACCCATTCAGGAGTGTGTTCCCTGCTCCAGACCCACCTTCCTCTAAAGAAAACAGGAAAAAGTCAACCAAAACAGAAAAATAAGAACTGATGAGTATCACAGCAAGTGATTCTGGACTCATTTGATGCCTTTCCTTTAGCCAATTAAAGCAGAAAGAAGCCTTCATTATTGTACGCTCCCCACCCCAAAAAAATAATAATTTTGGATTTTTGTAGTTGTGCATTCTTCCAAAACAAGAAGCAACAGACAGAGGCACCTTTTTTGATTTTCTTTTCCTGCATCTTCTCAGCGCACATTTTATAAGCTTCCGACTGTTGGTATTCTCTTAATTCCTTCATGTATTGTTGCTTTTCCCGCTCAGCCTCATCCAAATAGCGCTGTAATCAGAAGACAGGTTACCATTTCCAGTGTCTGGCCTTCGTCTCCTCTTACCCAAACACCTGTCACATGGACAGAATGTGATATGTGCAAACTAAACCCCTCTAGCTGGTCCCTGGCCTCGAGGCGCTTTCAGCGTGCAATCCAAGAAAGAGGAGGAGCTAACAGAGGGAAAGGAAGGTGTAAGCGGGAAGGAAAGTTTCGTGTTCACCCAGATACATTCAAGGTACCATGGAAATAATAGGGAGAACATGAAATACTACTTCCGTTTTGGGCAGGAACTGTGCAAAAAAGGTGAAGGGGCATCTGAGCATGTGCAGAGTGCCTTCACGTTTTTGCAAAGCAGCTTCCAATACGGAGCACTGAGAAACTGCAGAGCGAGCAGGCAATCTCTTTCCCTTCTCCTGCAACTGCCTTAGCAAAAAAGAATTGTGTTTTCCCTGCCTCACCTGTTTCTCTGTGGGCTGCAATTTGCTCCATTCCGCCCCCAGCATCTTTGTGATTTCTGGGAAGGGCAAATCTGGGTGTTGCATTCGGATCTGCTCCCGCCGTTCGTTCAGGAAGCGGACGTAGCCTGTCACTGGAGCTTTGGGCCCATTGGGGAGAATTTTCTTCCTCTTCTTACCTTTCGGCCATCCCCGTTTCTTCACAGGCTGCCCATTCCAGAGAGACATGAATAAGTGATCACAAATTATCTGGACACACTGGATTTCCCACAGTTATGTTCCATACTCAGCAGTTTGCACAAACACAGGCAAAACAACGCAGAATACAAGCCTGCATCCTAACTCCCTGAGAATCCCCATTTGCATTTAGAAATAAAACAAGTTTCTAGCCTTCATGAGGTGAAGCTATGCCTTAAGGAGCACGAGCAACACCTACTGAGCCTTCCCAAGCTAGGGGAGTAGCTCAGTGAAACCTCTAGTGGCTGAGGTGAAACACCGGAGTGACCCCAGTGGCCCCTGCCCCATAATTAGCCCACTCACAATTATGCAAAATAAAACAAATTGCAGAATTATGCAGACTAAGAAAATAGCACTCGTTTGGCACAAACAGGTCACTGAATTCAGCTGGAATCAATGTGCAATCAGCTGGAGTATAAAATGTAGGTGATGATGATGATAATTCTTTTAGGAGAACAGCACATTCTGAAAATACCAGGTAACATGAGAATCTCAATTCCCCACATTTCCTGCAGTCCCTTCCTTTCCTTGCAATGCTTCGCACAAGGGCATCAGGCCCAGGAATGGATTCCACTTTTTGCAACGAGCGAAGACAACCCTCCTAGGCCCAAACCCAGAGTTTCCACGGACAGGTCAGGGGTTTGAGGATGGCCCACCATCTGGCCATATAAACGCACCAGGGACCTCACCTCCTCTTCACTGTGGGGTTTCTCCACAATTAATTGTGGGGTCTCACCCTTCTCTTGCTTAACAGCCACGAGGAAACTTCCATGTGGAGTTTTAGCAGCAGCATTCCTGCGAACAAAGGTTACAAGATAGCACCCACAAGCCTCTTTCTGTGAACAAGGATCTCTGTACACCATAATTGTTTTGCTTTTCAAAAAATGGAACACACCAAATTTTGCATCTACAGGAAACATCCAGCCTTAAAGACATTTTCATAGCAGTAAGCCCTATAAAATCCAAGACTTATTTCCAAGAATGCTTCTAAGAAAGGGAGTTCTGAGCATTAACACCAGTAAAAATATTGTGCAATTTTTCCTATACCACCTTTCTCTTCTGGATGAATTTCCTCGGGTAAATAAAGGATAGAAGTGGTAGGAAAATATGGGGAGCGGTTATAGAGAGCTGCCAGCCCCCAGCACCCTGTAAAATCCTGTGAACACAGAACAAAAAGCCTCTGGTCCCCTGTATCAATTTACAATAATGTTTATTATTTTAAACATTTTTGTCTGAAATGTTCCTTATTATTTTGAGTAGGCAGTCACAGGTTGAAGCCCTTTAGCTTAAAACAGCCTGGGGAATTAAAATAACACATTGTTCCCATTCACATGTAAAAGTAAGCCTGGAATCCCAGTTTCTTATCCATACGATTAAGCTGCGAACTGGTGCCTGAGCCAGCTTGTTCCTCTCATGAGAGTGGTAAACGAACCTAAGGCCAGGAGGAGTGTGGTGTGATGCCCGAACCCGTAATTATGGTCTATCGTTACCCAAACATGCTAGAATTGTACACTATCTTTAAATTTGTTGACTTCTGAATACTGATTTTTTGAGTGCAATAAACCCTCATCCCAGGTTTGGACATTAGGCCAAAGCAATGAAGTGGCTTAATAAAACAAGATTCCTGGTTTAAAGTGACATGTAAAGGCAGTCAATACACTTTAAACCATGAATCCTGGATTAAATTGACATGCAAAGACAGTTAGGGAAGTTCAGACTTGATGAGTTTCATAAGCCAAGAGGGAGGCTGAATAAGATTTTCAGGGGCCGGCATGCCAAAATTAACTTCATCTGTTTTTCTGGATGCAAAGGTTGGATTAACCCAAAGCAGGACTTTGATTTAGCTGAAAATGCTTTGATTTAGCTGAAGAGGATATAAAATTCAGTTTGGAAAAACAGATGGGGGGAATCCTAGAAGATCATGGAAGAATCACTCTTCTCAAGACTTACACGAGCCCAGCTGACTGCTGTTTGGAACTGTGTGACATTACTGCGTCTTGGCAACGAAAACCGTAGGCAGCTTCTGGAAGGGACAATTTGGAAAGCATTAGTGACCACGCAAAGCGTTGCATACAAGAACACTCTTCCCACATTTGCACAAGCAAACAATGCAGCAGAAAAAGGAGTCCACCCAAGTCAGGGTTTTGTTTCCAGCTCATTGTCAGATGCTCCAGGAAACCTGCCACAACTGGTTTGTTCAGAAGAAATTCATCTCTGGTTAGCATGGAGTCCCACATCCAGTTCTGGCCAGCACACTTTGGGAAGGATGCAGGCAAAATGGAAAAGGATGATCTGGGGACTGGGAATCGAACTCTCTGGGAAGAGACTGGAAGAACTAGGTCCATCCAGTCTTGAGAAGAGAAGAGAACAGAAGAGGGGATTTCGGATTTCTTTCACATGAAGAGTGAAAGGTTGTCAAGCAGAGAAAGGTCAGGATCTCTTAAGCATCCTAAAGACATGGAATCACAGCTTAAATTGTGGAAAGCCAGATTCTGGCTGAACCTCAGGCAAATCCTACTAGCAGTCTATTGTGGGATATCCTACACTTGCAAGCACTGTAGACGTGGATGGACAGCCATCCTAGAGAAGGTGGAACTCCTGCATTACAGCTCGACCCAACAGATCTACTGCTCCTTCCAGCTACACTGTTTTAGGGCTCCGAGGTTGACTGCAGCTCTGCAAATGCCGTGGGTCCCTCCCCAGAGTCCCTGAACATTGGCCATGCTATCCAGGGCTGATGGGAGGTGAAGCTTGACCAGGACTGCAACCCTGCTCATTCCTCCTGCTCCAGAAGTCACAGGAGAAAAACAGACCAGTTCAAGATCCATCCCATGGTGGGAACTCAGATGCTTTGGTGCACACTGACCCAAACAGCAGAAAAAGAATCATCCTATCTATGTGGCAACCAGCTGCAGATTGGCCTGATTGTTCTTTCCTACTGCAACCTACAGTTGTGAAAGTTGGACAATGAAAAAGTTAGACGAGAGGAAAAATGACTCATTCGAATTGCGGTGCTGGCGCATTCCATGGACAGTGGGAGTCACAGACAAGCAGGTGCTGGAACATATTAAACCAGGCGCATCCCTGGTTGGCAAGATAGCAAAGCTGAGACTCGCGTATTTTCACCACATTATACAATCAAGCTCATTAGAAGAAGACACAGTACTAGGAAGACTCGGCAGCGAGAGAAGGCCAGCTCAAAGAGCGAGGCGGTTAGACGCCATCAAATAGGATGCGGCCAGAGCACAGAACAGCTGCAGGAGGCGGCACAGACTGGAAAGTGTGGCAGGATTTGGCCCATAAGAGTGCTATATATATGTGTGTGTGTGCGTGATTGCTTATATATAAATATTTATTTATTTAAAACATTTCTACCCCATCCTTCACAAAAACGTCTCAGGACAGCTTATAGTCAGACCTGACTGAACAGCTGAACAACAAGAACATAATATTTCTGTTTGTTCTACATGGCTAACAACCATGAGGATTTTTGGTGCGTTCCAAAATTGGGTCAGATTCTTTCTAAGCTTGCAACATCATGTGACACTGGCTTTTGTAGGCAGTTGTTATTTACAACCATTTCAAAAGCAGTGTCTCCGTATCCAGGTGAGCACGGCGACTCTTATTGCAGAGGTTGGAGACCCTGCCCTGCAGATGCTGCCAGAGCCAAATGACAGATGGCCTAGTAGGTAAGAGAACGTTGTTAGAGATTTTCCAGGGTGCAGCTTGCCTTCCCCGCCGTAAAGGATTCTAACCGATGTGGAAACAGTCACCTCCACAGAAAGGAAACGCAAATACGTTTTCTGCAAAGGGTGGATAGATTTCTCTTTTCCTTCTCTTATTTTTCAACAGTATTAAGAGGACACTCTACACACGGACATCACCAGACGGTCAACACAGAAATCAGATTGACTATGTGCTCTGCAGCCAAAGATGGAGAAACTCTGTAACATCAGTGAAAACAAGACCAGGAGCTGACTGTGGCTCAGATCATGAGCTTCTGGTTGCAAAATTCAGGCTTGAATTGAAGGAAGTAGGGAAAATCAATAGGCCACTCAGGTATGACCTAAATCATATCCCTGATGAATATACAGTAGAGGTGACAAATAGATTTAAGGAATTAGATCTGATAGACAGAGTGCCTGAAGAATTATGGATGGAGATCTGCAACATTGTACAGGAGGTAGCAATTAAAACCATCCCAAAGAAAAAGAAATGTAAAAAAGCAAAATGGCTGTCTGAGGAAGCTTAAAAATAGTTGAGGAAAGAAGGGAAGCGAACGGCAAGGCAGAAAGGGAAAGATATACCCAATTGAATGCAGAATTCCAGTGCAAAGAAATAGAAGAAAACAATAGAATAGGGAGGACCAGAGATCTCTTCAAGAAAATTGGAGATATGAAGGGAACATTTCATGCAAAGATGGGCATGATAAAGGACCAAAATGGCAGGGACCTAACAGAGGCAGAAGAGATTAAGAAGAGGTGGCAAGATTACACAGAAGAACTATGCAAGAAAGAGCTTAACGTCCCTGATAACTAGGATGGGGTGGTCACTGACCTCGAGCCAGACATCCTGGAATGTGAAGTCAAGTGGGCCTTAGGAGGTCTGAGCAACAACAAAGCTAGTGGAGGAGACGGTATTCCAGCTGAGCTATTAAAATCCTATAAAAGACGATGCAGTTAAAGTGCTACACTCAATATACCAACAAATCTGGAAAACTCAGCAGTGGCCACAGGATTGGAAAAGGTCAGCTTACATTCTAATCCCAAAGGAGGGCAATGCCAACGAATGTTCAAACTACCGCACCATTGCACTCATTTCACATGCGAGCAAAGTGATGCTCAAAATCCTGCAAGCTGGGCTCCAGCAGTATGTGGACTGAGAACTACCAAAATTACAGATGGGGTTTCGAAGAGGCAGAGGAGCTAGAGATCAAATTGCCAACATACGCTGGATCATGGAGAAAGCTAGGGAGTTCCAGAAAAACATCTGCTTTTGCTTCATGGACTATGCTAAAGCCTTTGCTTGTGTGGATCACAACGAATTGTGGCAAGTTCTTAAAGGGATGGGAGTACAATGGTACCTTGGCTCACGAACCAAGGTAACCAACATAATCTGTTCCAGGACTCTGGTCATGATCCAAGTCAAATTTCCCCATAAGGCTCAATGTAAATAAGGTTAATCTGTTCTGTAACTTTTTTTTTAATCAGAAAATTTTGAAGCACAGTGACAAAGAACAACATAGATTGTGGCCCTCCCCCCCCCACCCCCAGCACGACCATGACTGTGCCTCTCATCCCTGCTTGGGTGGGATCACGGGCACGCTCGGGGAGACGGGTGTGATCGCAGGTGCGCTGGGGGGAGAGACGGGTGCAATCTTGACCATCTTCCCCCCGCCCCACCCCCAGCACCATCGCGGCCATCTCCCCACTCGGGGTGGCGGGGGAGATGGCCGCGATCACAGTCACCACCCAATGCGGAGATCGTGACCCAAGTCAAAAGTTTAACAAAATTTTTGTTTGCATCCTGATTTGGTTGTGAGCTGAGGCATTCGTGAGCCGAGGTGCCACTGTACCAGATCATCTTATTTGCCTCTTGAGAAACCACTGTGGGGGTCAAGAAGCAACAGTGAGAACTGGACATGGAACAACTGACTGGTTCAAAACTGGGAAAGGGGTTCAGCAAGGCTGTATATTGTCCTACTGCCTAATTAATGCATATGTGGAGCACATGATGTGAAAGGCTGCACTGGATGTCTCAAATGGAAATTAAGATCGCTAGGAGAAATGTCAACAACCTCAGATGCCATGAAATTACATGAAAATACATCTAATGGCAGACAGTAAAGAGGAACTAAAAAGCCTCTTAAAGTGGGTGGAAGAGGAGAGTGCAAAAATTGACTTGAAACTCAACATAAAGAAAACTAAGATCATGGCATCTGGTCCTATCACTTCCTGGCAAATAGATGGGAAAGAAATGGAGGTAGTGACAGATTTTATTTTCCTTGGCTCCAAGGTCACTGCAGACAGGGACTGCAGCCAAGAAATTAAAAGACACTTGCTCCTGGGGAGGAAAGCTATGGCAAGTCTAGACAGCATACTAAAAAGCAGAGACATCATCCTGCCAACACAAGTACATATAGTCCAGGCTATGGTTTTCCCAGTTGCAATGTATGGCTGTGAAAGCTGGGCCATAAGGAAGGCTGAGCGCTGAAGAATTGAGGCCTTTGGATTGTGGTGCTGGAGGAGACTCCTGCAAGCCCCTTGGACCGCAAGGCGATCAAACCGGTCAGTCCTAGAGGAGATCAACCCTGACTGCTCTTGAGAAGGCCAGATACTGAAGATGAAACTCCAATACTTTAGCCACCTAATGAGAAGGAAGGACTCCCTGGAGAAGACCTTAATGCTGGGAACAACTGAAGCAAAAGGAGAATGGGACAGTAGGGGTTGAGGTGGCTGGATGAGGTCACTGGGGAGATGAGCATGGGGTTGTGTGGACTCTGGGATACGGTGGAAAACAGGAATGTTGTCCTGGGGCTGCGAAGAATCAGGCACGACTTTGCAACGGAACAACACCAACATTAAAACAGTACCGTGTTGGTCAGGAGATTCAGCTCTGATCAAGGAATGCCCTGTTTCAAATATAGAATGGAGTTTGGGAATTGGCTGCCATGAAAAGTCATAGCAGCTGACCAGTTTAAGTCTGCATTTTGCAATAAATAAAGTTGTTCAGTTGCTTTTGAAATGCGGAAAAGAGATCGAGGGGTGCCCTTTAGCCAGGATTGAAAAAATGGAACATCAATATTAAAGCACAGACTACCAGTTAGTTACAGGAGAGCCAGCCAGGGGTGGGGGGAGCTGCCTTTGCAGCTTACGGGGGCAGGGGGGGTGTCCGGAGGCAGCTAACCAGCGGGATGCTAGTGGGCGGCTTTCAAACACGTTCAATAATCAATCGATCACCTGCTTCTCCGCCTAACCCACCAGAACCCTTGTTCTGTCCTCAGGCGCTCTTAAACCTAGCTTGGGATAAGGTTCCTAAAGGAGGCTGCAAATTTCGACGCGGGTGGGGAACACCTTTAAACTCACAACCTTCTCGGAAAAAGAAGAGGAAGGCGCTTGGAAAGAGATGCCCAGGGATTAATTCCCACCCGGCCACCCACCCCTCCCTCCCAGGCGCTCCCCCGCCAATTTGGGACCCGTTCTGGATCTCCCCCGCCAACAAATCCGCGTATCACCCTTCCCCAGTCTCACAGCAAATCGCAAAATTTCTCTTCCAAACTTTCCAGGTCTGTTCCTTTCTTTCTTTCTCTTCTCTCTCCCCAGCAAGAAGCGCCTCCCCTGGTCCTCCCTCCCAGCTCTCTCTCATTATTCTAATTAGCTCCCTTTCAAGGCCCTGATTGGATGAGACCTCCCCCCACTCCCTCCTCCCAGGAAGAAGGTTCCTCTCCGCGCTTCCAACCCAACTAGCGCGCGGATACGACGCATCACGGCTCGCAAGCGCGCGAGTTGGTTGTTGGCGCAACCAATCCGGGAAGGCGTCGAGTTTAAATAAATTATAATAATACTGGGGAGGGTCCGGGGCTTAAAAGGGCCGGGGGCAAACAAAAGGCCAGGCTTTGCCTCCGAGGGCTCGCCTCTCCGTCGCGGCAGCGTGTCTTAAGAGAGCGGCGGTGCGTAGTTTGCGCGTCCGGCGACCCGTGTCTCCCACGGAGGAGACGCTCCCCTGCTGGGGGAAAGGAAGGGATGGTGGGGAAAGGGGCCCCTCTTCCGTGGAATGGGGCTCAGGTCCCCCTTGGGGGGATCCAAGGACCAGGAATGCCTTGCGCAGTGGATACAGGGACGTGTCCCCTTTCTGTTCCCCCCGCCCACTTCTGCCAGGGCCATTTTGGCACCCTATGGCAGGCAGAAATCCAAATGGAGAAGGCTGCCTCGCCCACCAAGCAGCAGTTTCATCTGGAATAGGACCTTTGCTCTATTTCACTGCCAGCCACAGTAGTATTATTCCATTATATTTGTCCATAACGTGCATTATATCCATTATATGCACACACATACATGGCTAAGGGGTGGCATACAAATCCAATAAACAAAATTATATTCGCACCCTGCTTTTCTTCCTCTTGTAAGGAACCCATGGCAGCTTAAAAAGCTCCCTCCTGTGTTAACCTCACAACAACAACCCTGTGAGGTAGGCCAGGATGAGTCCATGACTGTCCCAAGGTCAACCCAGGTCATGTGGAGACTAGAACCTGGATCTCCTGAGTCCCTGACCAGCCTTCTAACCATCCCATCACACTGGCTCTCCCATGGTGGGCAGTGGGCTCCTTCCTACCCCCTCCCACTCTTCCACACACATCCCATGGGTAAGGGCCCTCTTTCTCCATCACTGTGTACTTTCTCAGGCCTTCCACAGCTTCCCACTGCCCAGGCGATCACAAACATTTTCAGCTCTCCCTTCCCAGTGCCATTTTAGCAGCTCCCAAGCAGTGGTCTTTTCTGGTTGCCCACAGTGACACACCCACAGGTTGTGGAAGCAAAATCCCCCACTATCCCAGAGCCAGGAGAGCTTCTTGGAGCCCCACCTGAAAATCCTGTGGCCTGTTTGGAAAGAGCATTCAAGAACATAATCTCAAAGCTGCATTCCCCAAATATGTTCCTTAGATAAGAGCAAGGAGACCCCGGTTGGTTTCCTCCAGTGGGAGCAATTCTGGTCCCAGAGAATGGGTGTATCAGTTTCCTTCCGTTTGTTTATATCCTGGGTCATTCTTGCATCATTGTATTCAATTAACTGTATCTCTTCTTTGACAAAAACACTTTCTTTCTTCCTAAATCTCCTTGAATCAAAGCAAGGGATTTTAAGGCTGGGCTTTTAAAAGAGAAATAAAGAGCGCACGAGACACGGAATGAGACATGGAAACTTCTCAGCGGCTGGGAAACAGGTAAGAGACCTGTTCCAGCGAAGGAAGATGTGGTTTAGGGTTCTCTGTGCAAAAGACCCCCCGCCAGTCACTTTCACTCCAGTGTGGGAGCTGCTTCTTGGGGTGTGGAAGTTAAGCCCAAGCAGAAGCTCAACCAGAATACAGTGGTACCTTGGCTCACGAACTTAATCTGTTCCAGGACTCTGGTCGTGACCCAAATTGGTCATGAGCCAAGTCCAATTCCCCCATAAGGTTCAATGTAAATAAGGTTAATTCGTTCTGTAACCATTATTTTTTAATCAGACAAATTTGAAACAAAGTGACAGAGAACAGCAAAGTGAGAAAGTGCTGTACAGAGCGGTGGAGAACACTAACCTGGGTGGGGGGGAGGTTGTTGTTTGGAGGGAGAGACACCCCCCCCCCCCCGTAAGGACGTTGGGGAGATCTCTTGCAGGGGTTTCCTCTCTCCTGTGTCTCTTAGCTGCAGGGTCAGTTTTGGTGAAAACTCTGTCCATGGTCACTTGTTTTTTCCTTGCCTGCATAACCCTCTGGAAATGAGAGACTGCGTTATGGTTCGTCAGACTCAACCCTTGGTTCGTTACACTGATGTTGGGATGGTGCTTCTCAAAGAAATCCTGGCACTCCTTCCATTTTTCCAAAATGGATTGTGTCACATCAGGGCTAACCTCCTCGCTGCCTTCCTCTTCCTCAGCGGCATCCTCCTCAGCAGGTGCCTTCTGCTGCTTGCTCTGGAGTCCAGCAAGTGCTTCTGTGGTCTGCTCCTTTATGTCTTCCCTGCAGGAATGCGACTGCGATCCTGGCCATCTCCCCACCCAGGAAGGGGTGCGGGGAGGGGGGGGAATGGCCGCAATCTTGGTTGCCACCCAACGCGGAGTTTGCGACCCAAGTCAAGATGTTCGTGAAATTTCTGTTCGTGACCCGATTTGGTTGTGAACCAAGGTGTTCATGAGCCAAGGCACCACTGTATTTATAAACAGACACTGCAAATATTAGTGATGCAAATAAACTCCAAAAGCAGCTGCTGCTTCCAGCAGAAACCAAGTCTGGACAAGCACTGTGGCCCAGGAATGTATTCTTGCTAGAGGAATGGGGAATGGGCAGGGAATGACATGTGTGTTTTTCTGCACCTGATATTTCTCCCTGCAAGTTTGGCAGTTCCCTGCCCCAAGGAATTTACCATAAAACCCATAAGCCATGGCCCAAATCTTTATTTTTAAATTCATACCCTCAGCGAGGTCTGCCAGGTACTTCCACTGTTCTCTTTTCAATGCCAGGTAAAGACCTTACATTCCCAACAATTCTTCCAGAAATTTTAACTTCAGACTGTAAGTTCTGTGTTGTGTTTTAAATCTTTGAACTGCTGGTAGGTTTTACTCTAGTTTTCACATTTATTTTACACCGGAATCTTAACTATTTTTATTTTATACTATATTTTCTATGCAATTTTATGGGTTTTTTTTAATGGCAGTGGTACATTAAATTAACATGTAATTAATAAATACACAAATGTTCCAAATACAAAATTTAACAAAAGGAAACAAATACTTGCAATCTTGTTTACAGAGCAATACATTTAACACCCCCCACCTTTTTCTGAGGATAAATGTGGAATCCATGGGCCTCACAGAGGTTTTATGCTTCTTCATAATGGCTAATTATATTTACCCATCCTTCTTATACATTTACCCATTTGTTTGTTAGTTAGATTTATAGCCTGCCTTTTTCTTTTTTAAAGATCTCAGTGTGGCCTACTTCATTCTCTTCCTGCCACTCCCCACCTTATCCCCTCAACAACAACCCTGTGAGGTAGGCAGAGAGATGCATTTTATTGAATATATGATGCTCCATGGCTGAGCGGGAACTAGAACCCAAATCTCCTGAGTCCCAGATGCATGCTCTTAACCACTAAAGCTCTCTGTGAGACATATTCACAAATGATTGGGTATAAGTTTCCTGCCTTGTATCTTAAATACCTTTACTCAGAGAAAAGTCCCATTTCAATGGGTCTACTCCCAAGAGAGTGAGCATAAAACTCCTCAGGGCTCATGCCATATTTTATGAGCATCCGTTCATTTACCTTTGCTTTCTGTTTGTACATCTGTTTTTCTGCCTTGCCTGCTTGCAGTCATGGCTTGAATTGGCTGGCTCCATTTTCTTCTGATTTTAGCCCATCAGCTTTCGTGTGAATGATCCATGAAGCTGCTTTTAAAAATCTTGCTGGATATATTCTTTTGTAAACCAACAGTTTGGCGCTGTTCTGTTCGTTTGCTATTCTTGCTGCAAAGTTCAATATTTAATTATATTTATATCCCGTTTTTCCCCCATGGTGAAACTCAAGGTGGTACATGTGGTTCCCAGGGGTCTCCCCTCCAAGCTCAGGCCAGCCTTGGACCTGCTTAGCTTCAACAAGGCAGATGCTCATGTGCTTTGGGACCATGATTCATATCAATCATTTGCAAGGGAATAAATCCATCCTCACAATTAGAATGCTTATTCACGGTATGAATATGTATAGATTGACTCATTTGTTATCCATGATTTGTCTTACTGTCATGATATGCTGCTACATTCATGACTTAACTTTGCTAAGAGGCCAGTGAAAAAAAATGCTTTGTATTTCCTTAATCTTCATAGAGATCTTTTAAGACTGATGCCGAACACCATTGCTTTGCTTTGAACCCATGGCATTTTCTTAGTGCTCTGTGGCTTTGGACCTACCTGCTGTGTGTATTTCCCTGAAAAAGGAGCCCTTTTTCAGACATAGAAACAAATGACAGCACAGAGAAACAAACCAGGAAGACAACAAAGCAGGGAAAGTCGGTGAAAGATACATGTTTTTCCTAAATACATGACCAAGTCACCAACTCTCCTGTTTTCCAAGCACAGTAGCAAAACATCTGTATTCCCGGGGGTGCTGACGGTGTCTTGCAAAGAGGCACAGCTGCTTCGCAGGCTTGCCTGCCCACTGCCCGTTCCTGCATTCGTGACCCTCACAGTGGGACCCTGGGAAGACAGATGCTGCTCACTGAATCGAATTCTCCTGGGGAAGATTGGGTTTCTGGCCCCCGTGCCAGACCTGGGGTTGCCTTACGCCTCTGCCATTCTACCTGAAGGCCAGCAGAATCAATAATTCAGCAGGGGCCCTTACCTTCCATCTCTTGCAAGGAGGCGGCGCGATGCTGTGCAGCTCCAGAGAACAAGACAGAGGGCAGCCGAAGGGGGGCCCCATGGAGAACGGGGTGTCGCAGGAGGCAGGGGGCTCCCAGACTGCACTGCAGGGGGGCTCCAAGAACGCCCCGGGAGAGAACCGTGCTGCCCCGGCGCACCCACCTGGCCCGGCCCGTGTCCGGCCCCGGCTCGTTTTCCACACCCAGCTGGCTCACGGGAGCCCCACTGGCAAGATCGAGGGGTTCACCAACGTGAAGGAGCTGTATGCCAAAATCGCTGAGGTTTTTGACATCTCCCCGACAGAGGTGAGGGCCCCGTGGACGGCTGGGTCATCTGAGGAAGGGCTGAACTGGGGTGCTAGGCAGACTCGGCTGTGCAGACGGAGAACTGAACAGGGTGCCGTCCCTCAAGACCATTTCAGTGGTGGTTGGAGCGTGGACAGCAAGGGTCAGATCCTTCTCCTCGGGGTGGACTTGGTGCTGAGTTACGTCAGAAGGCTGTGTGGTGGAGATTAAAAGGGGGGGAGAGTGAGAGAGCGGGGTGGGGAGGAGAAGAGAGAGATTGCTTTGCACATACATACCATTTTGAGCTCCTGGGAGGAAAGGGGGAACGAAAGTATCATTCAAAAATAGAAAATAAAATTAACCATGCTGGGAGAGAGGCAGCTTCATGAAGGTGGTGAAGAAGATGGATTCAGACATAGGAGGCAGCCACAAGAAAAAAAAAGGGGGGGGGAGAAAGATCTTTGCAGAATGTCAGAGTTGGGGGAGAAAAAGTCACGGGAAAGACCACGCCTCTTGCTGGATTGGGGAGTGGGCAGGAAGCCCATGTTGGGAAGTGGTTCCTGGGAACACGGGAGAACATCAGCATTGACTGAAGCTGGGTTTAGGGGAGGGAAAGTATAAAAGGGACCTGGAACAAAGGGGTCTTGTTTTGGGGGTCGTGCCTGCAGGCCTGCAAGAAACTTTTGAGAATATGCTGTCTGTGAGGGGATGGATTTGAACTGTCCAGTTTGGCCCCATCAGCACTGACACCAGTGATGCTTGAGGGTCCCAAAGAGGAGTCTTTCCCGCCCTCCCTAGAGATAGCTGCACCCTACATGCAAACCAAGGGCTGTCCCATCAAGAGAGGACACCCTGCCAACATAAGGATTGTTTTCACACGCTCAGAGGCACCCTGCGCTTGAGAAGAATGTCACGTGCAGAATCCTTACTGGAGCATGGGGAAGATTCTGGGAACACTTGAAGCGCCCCCTCCTGACAGTATTTATGTGTGTGGGGTGGAGTTGGGAATAGGGAGGCCTTTAATCAAATCCCATGTGGACAGGACCCTGATCCACCTTTAAAGGAAGTCTTGAAATAATTTCAGGTAGACAAATCCCTCCTGAGCAGTTATACTTCCTGGGTATCCTATTTATGTTTCCTGCTCCCCAAGTTTGGGCACAAACATCAACATCTGTAGAAATGTTGACATTCTGTTGCTCAGATTTTGCTTCTCAGCTCTGCAAGCCCAAGTCAGGACAGCTGCTTTCCCCTTAGCTCTCCCCTGGCTACAGAGTTAGAATTTACTCCGTAACGCCATTTGGTATTTCACACACTCAGATCCTCTTTTGCACCTTGAATACCCACAAAGTGGACATGCAGAAACTTCTGGGAGGCCAGATTGGATTGGAGGACTTCATATTTGCCCACATCCGTGGAGAGACCAAGGAAGTGGAGGTGACGAAGACGGAAGATGCTCTTGGACTGACCATCACAGATAACGGGGCTGGGTACGCCTTCATCAAGGTAGGGAAGGATCGGTTCTGTGGGGGTGCGGACAAGTGCAGGTCTTCTCAGGGCAGCCCCCACGGAGGCTCCAAAAGCAGCTCTTTGGCTAGAGGTTTCAGTGCATACAAGGAACTGCAGTATACACTATGACAACCCATTTTCCAGTATCAGCTGTCAGCCCTGGAATCCTGAGCTTGCCAAAGCCAGCTTCTGTTTTGCCTCGTTGGACCGCAGCTGGAATTGCATGCAGAAGGAGAGAGAAGGACATGAGGTGTCTCCAAACAACTATCATTCCAGACTGCTCTAGATTTTCCAGCAGTTTCTAATACCAGGCCCAGGGAGAAACTCCATTGCTCTCCAGCTAAGTTCAGAGCGAACCCAGACGCTAGAGCAAGCTGGCATGTTGATTCTGCTAATCAAGTCTGCTCATTCGGTTTTACTGTGAATTGTGAATTGTTTTTATTCTCCTGCAAAGGTTGTGAGCAGCCCAGAGAGCCTTATGGCTAATGGGGCAGCATACTAATGGAATAAACAAATACCTAAATAATGAAGACGGCCCCTGTTTTGACCCTGTGAATTCTGGCCTCAGGGAAGAGGCAGGCTGCCACATTCATTGGCCCAGAGGTGGCAAGAAAATTGGGATTTTGCCCAAACACTGACTGCCTCCCTTCCTGGATTTTGCAGCAGGAAGAGCTGGCGTGGAGCAGGGAATGACTCCCCCCTCCACATGCCAGACATTCAAACCAAGTAAGGATGTAGCAGTGTTAATTAAAGCAGGGTCTGCACTGTACCCCTCACCACAAAATGACAGCATAGCTACACAGCTGCTTTTCCCAGGCTGGATATTGTAAAAAGTCCCTCTTTCTCATTTGCTTCTCCATCCCCCATCCAAACAAGCACAGCAAAACTTAATATCCACCAGCCAACAAAGGCTATTCAGCAGCACCTTTCAATGCTTCAAAACCTCGCTTGTGAGTCAGGCATTTTGCACAGCTACAGAGATGTTTGCAATATTCTCTTGGCCCAGAGGTTAAATTAAAGCTTGCCAAAGTCTGTTTTTCTGTTTTCTGACATTTGGCAATTTCTTTGGCTTCTGTGAACAATAGACACTGTCACAGGAATTAAAGGTTTTGTGTTGCTATAAAACACAATAGAAATCTAGAATCCCTAACCACAATCTACGAACAAAACTCTCCCACTGCACCCCCTCTGGGAGACGGATTGCCTTCCCAAAGTATTCACTCTTCATTCATCACAGTCCCTTTTATGCACTTGACTCTGCCATCCGGTTCTCCCTAGATTTTGAATTTCCCATTCTTTTTGAAGTGTTAGGCTCATTCAGTAGTTTCTTCTTAGAAACACAGAAACAGCGCGAGTCAGAAGGGGTCTCCCGGGCCATCTAGTTTGACCTCCGGCTCCAGCTGGCTCTGCTCACAACATGCCCACCATGTGCATGTCCAGGCTCGCTCGCTCGCTCGCTCGCTCACTCTCTCTCTCTGACTCTGACTCTGACTCTGACTCTGACTCTGACTCTGACTCATATATGTAAAATTTCTATACCTTCCCATTGTGGAAGGTCTCTGGGCTAGTGAAATTTTTGTGCAAGACTCAGAGTTCTATTCTAGGCCCAGAATTCTTCAAATCGAAGCTTCTTTGCAACAAGCTGCAGTTTGCGCAGCTCCGGATTTTGGAGAAACAGAAACATAGAAGCAAAGCGAGTCAGAAGGGGTCTCCCGGGCCATCTAGTCTGACCCCTGGCTCCAGCCGGCTCCGCTCACGACATGCCCACCATGTGCATGTCCAGCCTATCTGTCTCTCTCTGTCTGTCTGTCTCTGTCTCTCGTTCTCACTCTCGCTCTCTCTCTGTCTCTGACTCTGTCTCATATATGTAAAATTTCTATACCTTCCCATTGTGGAAGGTCTCTGGGCTAGTGAAATTTTTGTGCAAGACTCAGAGTTCTATTCTAGGCCCAGAATTCTTCAAATCGAAGCTTCTTTGCAACAAGCTGCAGTTTGTGCAGCTCTGGATTTTGGAGAAACAGAAACATAGGAACAGAGCGAGTCAGAAGGGGTCCCCTGGGCCATCTAGTCTGACCCCCGGCTCCGCTCATGACGTGCCCTCCATGTGCATGTCCAACCTGTCCTTGAACATCCCTGCCAATGGGGCCTCCACCACCCCTTTTGCTCCCCAGAGATTGGCTTATCCTTTAAGTTACTGTGTTTCCACATTTGCTTTTTTCTCGATGACGCTCATGTATGCGTTGGTAAAACACCCAGCAAAAGAAAAGTGGTGCAATGCAGGTCACATCAATCATCTTTTTGGGTGGTGCTTTATCTGCACATCTGAAAATCCATAGCTGCACAGAACAAGATTGGTCCAGCTCTTCGTTGACTGTTCTTTGTTCAGGAACAAAGCCACCCTGTCCAAAGAAAATAATGCATTGGGAAAACGACATTTTCCTGACATTCTTTTGTGGAATGTTTGTTGCCTACCTTCACCTTAAAAGGTGACAGATTTTTCTTGCATTTTACCTGGAACAAGGGGCCCTGCACCGCTCATGGTATTTATTTCACCTCACTTCCATAAAATTCCCAGGAGGTGCCGCCAGCAAAATGCAGCAGGAAAGGTACTGGGTAGCTCTGACTTGCTCAAGTGTCCTTTTCTCCTTTTAAAAAGAAAAATAAATACTCCACCACTGAATAAGGGTGGAGTAAAAGCATCGGCAGCCCTGATTCTATCCATGGAAATTATTTTCCCCCAAGGAAAGCAACAAAATATTACACCCTCTTTTGTTAGGGCATGAGAAATATTTCCCAGAAACTTGGAGGAGGATTTTGACTTACTAGGCAGTAAAAAATTAAACCCGCCTGAAAAAAAGCGCTGATATGGCACAAGGACTGACAAAGGCGGCTGGCTTAGCCGAGGAGCTGAGGTAGTTTCATCTGCAAGACGCTGAGCACCCATAGATGGGCAGGTTTGGCCTGTGGAGGCTGCTTGTGCAGCCCAAGGTGGTCAGAGTTCCTTTTGTGGGTTCCCAAGTCCTGGCTGCCTGACCTGAAGGCATAGAAAACATAGAAAACAGAGCGAGCGAGAAGGGGTCTCCCGGGCCATCTAGTCTGACCCCCGGCTCCAGCCGGCTCTGCTCATGACATGCCCACCATGTGCACGTCCAGCCTGTCCTTGAACACCCGCACCGATGGCATCATGAGCAGGTGGGAAAAAGTATTCCCTTCTTACCCCCAACCCAGGAGATGCCCCTCTGTGTTGTTTTCCCCTCCCCGAGTTGGAGCTGGACAGAGTGTTGCAGTTGTGCAGGGCGTCAGACAAAAGCCCTTCGCTTGGGCCTTTGCTTTCCCTTCAGTGAAGGACAAGTGAGGCCGAATTTTGCAGTTTTGCCTGCCCTGCATCCTCTCCTTGTGGGGCCGGCAAAGCAGCTGTACCCGCATGAAGCTTCTCCAATGGGAGAAAAACTGTGCAGTTCGTGCAGGATGCACAGGGTAAATTACCCTTCCAACATTTCCACTGGGGACCAAACGCAACACTTCCGCAAGCTGGCCACTGGCCTTTCCCCTCCAGCCAGCTCTTCTTCTTCCTCCTCTGTGCTGAAAGCTGGGGTCAAGGCAGCAGCATAAAGGGATGTTGATACTATTGTATTACCAATCAAGACTACAGTTGTGGGGGTGGGCAGAGTAAAGTTTTGTGATGCACAGATGCACATCCATAATGTGAGACCTGGAAGTGGAGAATAGGGAGAGGGGAAAATTTGCTGGACAAACTCCAGCGATGGAAGTTGACACTTGATTTAGAAAAGTTCCAGGCACACCTGAAATTCCAGGAAAGGGGATACAGCAGGGAGTGTAATTCCAATGAAACGGGGACAGGATCCAGGAAATCCACTCCTGCTGAACCAAACTAGAACCAAACTGAACCAAAACAGAGCTGCCAGCTTGCTGACGGGGACTGGGCGTTATTCTCATACAACCCCAGTCCTCCACCAGCTTCACTGGCTTCCCATCGAAGCCCGGGCTCAATTCAAGGTACTGGTAATCACCTATAAAGCCCTTAACGGCTTGGGACCTGGATACCTAAAGGAACGCCTTCCTCCATATTTGCCCTCTCGCCTCCTGAGATCGGCAGTGGAGACCCTCCTCCAGGAGCCCTCCATGAGAGACATCAGGAGGCAAAGTACCCGGAGGAGGGCCTTCTCTGCGGTGGCACCCCGCCTGTGGAATGTGCTCCCCAGAGAGGTCCGCCTGGCGCCGTCGTTATTTGTTTTTCGGCGCCAGGCGAGGACCTTTTTATTCAAACAATATTTTAACAACGCTTAATAATATCTGTAGGTTTTAATTGTGCAGCCAGGGTGTTTCTGGGGTTTTAATTGTATTTGTATTATGTTTATTTATTTATGTGAGCCGTCCCGAGGCTATAAGCGATGCGACGGCATACAAAAACTCTAAATAAATAAATAAATAAATAAACTGCAGCTGTTTTGCGGGCCCTTGATGGTGTGGGACTGGAAGGAGGGCCTCATGCGCGGTGTCGTTTCCCTCCCAGCGCATCAAAGAAGGCAGCATCATCAACCGCATCCCAGTTGTGTGTGTCGGCGACAGCATCGAGGCCATCAACGACCAAACCATCGTGGGATGCCGCCACTACGAAGTTGCCAAGATGCTGCGGGAGATGCCGAAAGAGCAACCCTTCACCTTGCGCCTGGTGCAGCCCAAGCGAGCCTTCGGTGAGTCCGCACCAGCGTGGGGGGGAAACGGGCAGGAACCCGGTGTGGATGTCCTTGGGCAGCATCCAAGACCTCCTGTGCCATCTCTCCAAAGGCACCCAGGCTGGGGAACACCAGCAAGCCCAAGGCTGAAACACAGCCCCTGGAGCTGACCAGCCCAAATTGCACCTGGTTGCATCTGGGACCCACCTGGCCACTCAGGTGCTGACCAGAATTCCAGGCCCACATGCCTGTGTTCACAGGACCTCTTGTGAAACCTACCAAGCCAACCCCAAAGCAACCCCTGGAGGCCTGACCAGCACTAGGTGTGGTATCCATGGCTCCATGAGTGTTACCACGGCATGGCTCTCTCTCAGCAGATGATGATGATGATGATGATGATGATGATTAGAACATTTCTATGCTGCCCCTTGCTGAAGCCTCGGGGCGGCTTACAACACAATAAAATACAATACAATACAAAAATAACAACGTAAAATTAAAATTAATAATATAAAATAAATAAAAAATATAAAAGAAGTTATAAAAGAAAAGTTATAAAAGAAAAGAAGTCGCCCTGGCCAGATAAATAAGTAAATATTGTTAACAATTAAAATGACGTTTAAATAAAAAGGTCTTCACCTGGTGCCGAAAAATAAATAACGATGGTGCCAGGTGGACCTCTCTGGGGAGCACATTCCATAGATTGGGAGCCACTGCAGAGAAAGCCCCTCATACCCTCAGGGCTGGCGTCCAGGGTTGGCAGAGTCGGGCACCTGCGGAAGGGCTGCTCCCCAGCTGGGCACCATGGGCATGGCCCCTGGATTCTTCCTCCTCCCCTGGCTTCCTTTCCTCTTCCCTTGTTTACATACATCATGACTGAATCTGTCAAGGGAATGTTTCCTGCGTCAGAGATTCTCTACTCCTTCCACTGCTCAATGAGCCGGTATGCCTTGGAAATTCTGAATTACCAACCTCAGGAGCTTTGTGGTTGTTATTGTCCTACAAAAGGAACCAGTGATAAATAGAAGGGATTCTAAAATAATGTCATGGAGGACATTGTATAATTCAGGAATTCCCTAACCATAATTCCAGGGCATGTCACAGAATGACCTCATATCCCGTAAGAAATGATTTGGAGAACAGACGGCAATCTCCCAGCTGATTTGCAATTAATCATTGAGGGGTTTTTAAATTATCATTCCCCATAGCAACAACAATAACATATTGTCCTGTTTGTAAGTTAGGCTGCTGAAATGAAGAAAGGGTGGGCAAAATCAAGAGTCAGCCAGCCAAGGTTTTATTGGGTGATAAATAAAATTCGTGGAATTCTACCACTATAAAGAGCATCCAGATGATCCCTTTGTGTCTTCTCTTGGTAACCCCTCCTTGTTTTCTTTGCACTGATTCCTTCATTTTTAACCAAAACCCTGAATCTAAAATCCTGAAGTCTATTCACTAAAGGAACAGCTGAGAGGAGTTCAAACTACACTTTCTTCCCAAAGGAGTCTTTTAGGTATGTCTCAGTATGAGTCTTGGTTCAGACATACCTCCTCCATCTACTGGAAAATATGGGATTCCAGATATTCAGTTGCACTTCCTATCTTAGGTGGCAGTCCAGTGTAACCACACAAGGATAACATATACAAGGTAGAATCCAGATTTAAGCTAGATCAAACACACTGCTGGAAGTTATGCTCAGAAATCATTTCCCAAGTCCTTTTGAATGTGGGAATGTGTTTGGAATCACCTTCCTTATTTGATCAAGCATGCCTGGATTCCCTTCTCATCAATATCCTCCATGTGTATGGATCTCCAGCCAAAGAACGCTGTTTTTAAAAAGTGCTTTGTGTTATGCTGCAGTGAAGATATGGATTCTTCTCTTCTGCAGCTTGCAGCCACTTTTCACTTCTTGTCCTGCTTTCTGCATATTACTGCCTTCTATCAGTCTCCTTTGTTAACTTTTGAATGCACTAGGAAGGTTACAGAGCAATGGGCAAGAATGCAAAAATTATTTGAACTTCATGGCCGAGTGCTAAAATGGAGAGCAAAATCATGCATATCATTCTTTTCCCGTTGTTCACACTTGCAAATGAATGGACAAAACAAATGGAACAATTTTTGTAACAATTACATGTGGTTATCCCAATAGCCCTGATGCTGGGAACAATTGACAGCGGAAGAAGAAGGGGGCAGCAGAGGATGAGGGGGCTGGATGGAGTCACTGGGGCAGTGGGTGTGAGCTTGGCTGGACTCCGGGGGATGGTGGAGGACAAGAAGGCCTGGAGGAGTGTTGTCCACGGGGCCGCGATGGGTCAGATGCAACTTCACGACAATCCCGATAGATGATGATGATGATGATGATTAGAACATTTCTATGCCGCCCCTTGCCGAAGCCTCGGGGCGGCTTACAAACACAATAAAATACAATAAAATACAAAAATAACAATATAAAATTAAAATTAACAATATAAAATAAATAAAAATATAAAATATAAAAGAAGTCGCCCTGGCCAGATAAATAAGCAAATATTGTTAACAATTAAAGTGACGTTTAAATAAAAAGGTCTTCACCTGGCGCCGAAAAACAAGTAACGATGGCGCCAGGCGGACCTCTCTGGGGAGCGCATTCCATAGAT